GGCGTCCTCCTTCATAGCGCTTGGAAAGGGAAGCCATCCATGATCCACTCCCTGATTCTGAATCTAAACCTGGCTGATCTCTCTCTCCTGCTGTTTTCTGCACCCGTCCGAGCGACAGCATACTTCAAAGGGGTTTGGGACCTAGGCTGGTTTGTCTGCAAGTCCTCTGACTGGTTCATCCACACGTGCATGGCAGCCAAGAGCCTGACGATCGTTGCCGTGGCCAAAGCATGCTTCATGTATGCGAGTGACCCAGCCAAGCAAGTAAGTATCCACAACTGCACCATCTGGGCAGTGCTGGTGGCCATCTGGGCTGTAGCTAGCCTGCTCCCCCTGCCAGAATGGTTCTTTAGCACCACCAGGCTTCATGCAGGTGTGGAAATGTGCCTCATGGACGTCCCCCCAGTGGCCGAAAAGTTCATGGCAATGTTTGGTAAGCTCTACCCTCTCCTGGTGTTTTGTCTTCCATTACTCTCTGCCAGTTTTTATTTCTGGAGAGCTTATGGTCAGTGTAAGAAACGAGGCACTAAGACTCAAAATCTGAGAAACCAGATGCGCTCCAGACAGCTCACAGTGATGTTGCTGAGTATCGCTGTCACCTCTGCTGTGCTGTGGCTCCCTGACTGGATAGCGTGGCTGTGGATCTGGCATCTGAAGGCTGGAGGCCCAGCCCCACCACAAGGTTTCATAGCCCTGTCTCAAGTCCTTATGTTTTCCATCTCTTCGGCAAATCCTCTCATTTTCCTAGTGATGTCAGAAGAGTTCAAGGAAGGCCTGAAAGGCTTGTGGAAATGGATGATAACCAAAAAACCACCAACTGCCTCAGAGTCTCAGAAAACACCAGCTGGTAACTCAAATGTCCCTCCCGACAATGTCCCATCTCCAGAGTCCCCAGCACCCATACCAGAGAGAGAGAAGCCTGGCTCTCCCTCCTCCAGTGTAGACAGAACGGAGAAGGCACAGATCCCCATCCTTCCTGATGTAGAGCAGTTTTGGCATGAGAGGGACACAGTCCCTTGTGTACAAGACAATGACCCTACCCCCTGGGAACATGACGATCAAGAGATGGGAGACTGTGATAAATAGATTAATTTTCCAAGCAAAACAAATTGTGATTAATGTATTTACTTGCACTGCTGCTTGTCGATACTGCACTTTATGACATAAACCATGGTCCAGTTACTAACTCTAGGAATTACAAAAATGCTTCACAGTATGCATTTTCAAAATGTGCCATCTGGTAAGTAGAACACCGTGTTAGGAGTCATGGTGATGTTTCAGAATTATATCCTGGCTATCCAAAGAATTAACTTCAGTGTTGTGTGAAGATGCTTCTGTCACACGTGAATAGAAATCCCAGACACTCTCTGTCCCTTGTTCGCAACTGCTCTCTTACTGGGTACTCCTTAGGACTACCCTGTACTGGCTGGAGTAGAGCTTATCTTTGTCAAAGGCTGGACTCCTTTACTTCTACCTTCTTCCTGAACCTGCTAGCCTTAACTTCACTCAGCAAACTTTATTTCACTTAAGCTCAAAATTTACTTTATGAAAATCCACGTAGATTTTCCATGCCTGAAGGTTGCCAGAATAAGGATCACCACTTCATTGTGGGCTGATTTCAAACCGTGGCTTATTTTGGCTAAGCTTCGCCTTACACTAAAACCTGCTTCGCTAGTCTTTGTAACGAGGTCTCCGTGAGTCTTCATTTGCTAAATCAGAGGATTTTTGCAGCTTAATTAGCATGACATTCTAAATTCTGATATGGAGAAAGAACTTTAAAAACTGCCCTTTCTCTTCCCAATTACCTACGCTTCCAAGATGCAGGAGCAAAGTACTCTTCTACAAGCTGCTATCAATCTGTTCCTCCCGATACCTCCTTTCTGTCAAGATAAATATAAACTGTAGTTAATGACAAAAGTATTAATTACTGAAGGCAATCCTCAAGTATAAAGAAGGAACGGAGATGGTGATCTTCCTTTTGTTAAATGGTACTAAATGTCCCCTGAACACTGAACTCACTGAACCCTGCCCAAGTTTTAAAATACCTCAGGGTCTTTGTTACAAAGATGATCAAGAGTAACAAGGAAAAAAAAAAAATAATAGGAAAAGAAAAAATTCCATGGATACAGGACAGAATTTGGCTAAGAATAGAAAACAAACAGCACAAAGGCAATGGAGAAAGAAAAGCAATACTACTAAATTTTGTGTTCCCAAACACTTTACCAATATAATTCAAGTAAAAGGCAACAACTTCATTTTACAACAAGGTAAATCATACCCAATAAAACAATCATTATGATACATTTCTTTCCCTATTAAACATAAGGACATTTATCCATGATTCTTGATTACTTTATAATGGAACTCTGGGGTATTTTCATTGTGGGGTTCCCTCAGAAAAAAAACTGCCATTTTGCCAAGCCATGGGGAAGTTAAAATACAAAAATATGCTGTGGATGGAATTTGTATTTTTTAAAAAATGTCCAGTCTATGGGTTTTAGGGTATGTTTTTTTGTCTTTACAAATGGTCGTGGTTTGCTTTCAACACAGAAGATAGGGCTGATTTCATTTTATCTGGTTCATTACAAATTTTTATTTTAAGGCTCACAAGATCACAAAGTACAATTTAACCCAAATACCCAAATACTGTTTTGTGAGACAGTTATACAAAGGGATTACCTTGAAAACTGTGGTGAACTATTTGAATTCGATTGTTCACTATATAATATAGTAAATGCTGGATGTGAGCTTCCACTGTTTTGACATTTTAACTTGTAAACAAATAAAAACAATTGCTTTACTTCAGATAGTTTTGGAGACTTAGAGCTGTCTTTGTCTTGAATGCGCCTTTCAAAATCATCACTTGGCACAATGGGGCTTTATGGGGAGGTCAGACCTTAGTATTGACATAGGTCTCAGGGTAAACTGTATCACATATCTTTAAGGAGTTTGACAGTAAGCGCCAAGTCAAGATGCAGATACTGAAACAGTGTAATTATGATGACCTTTTCATTAAAAACCTAATATACAGAGTCCTGACTTGGTCTTTTAAAGAAATCTGCATAGTAAAGCTTGATTTGCACCTTAAATGAACAGTCAATCCCAAATACTTTACAACAGAAGTAGGAAATTAGGATAGGTATCACCAAACCGTTGTTTTTGTTGTTTTTTTTTTTTTCACACTTTTCAACTGTGAGAAACAAAACAGTGAGTGGGCAAACACCACTACGTGGAATTCAAAACAAAATAAAGCCTTCTAAGAGCTTTTACTTCTGCTGGCCAGTGATATTCCTACAACAGCTGTGCTCCTTTTGGCAAACACTTCAGTTTCATGCCTCACAGAACTTAAAAATCACTCAATGGGTTTATACAAATGACCTTCAAAAAAGGGGGGGGAAAGGGGAAAAACTATCTTGTTCATTTTCAAATTGTACAGGTTAGGACCTTAGTCAGTTAATTCCAGTTTCTCACATACATGATTTCCGTAACAATTAATATATTTAAGCTAAGTACTAAGTAATGTTAAGTGTGAATGAGTCTGTATGCATGTGATCTGTCTGTGTGCACAGAACATACAATCTACTGGTATTTCCTCATTTTAGGTTTTGCTGCAATCACAGGAGATGGGAGAGAAAAGGGAAGATAAGTTATCCAATTAACCCATTTTTCTTAAACATGGATGTGGTACTCTGAAATGAGAAATCTATGAAGGAATGAGACAGGAATCTTTAAAGTGGGGAGGTACAGCTAGAAAGAGCGAGTGGAGGTCAAAGGTATGTTCCACGGTATGATGTGCAGGGCACACTGAAAGGGTGCCAAGAAGGCTTCACCATCAATTGTGTTAACATAGAGACAAAAACAAGAAAACACACAAACAAAAAACCAGCATCTTCTTGCTATGAGGCAGTAGGATATTGCTAAGAGACTGAGCACCAAAATGGTTCTTTACAAATTCCTTCCCTTTTATACTGCAAATAATTTATTATATTCAAGCCTTTAAAAACTATGTGATATATAGGATTGGAAGTCAACTTTCTCTGTGCCAAATTACAGTTGCTACTGCTTTAATGAACAGGTTTAAAAGATGTCTTTGTTATAGGTTCCACAACAATAATCATATACAATCCACACATATAAAAAGGGTTGGTTTATTGTAGTTCAAATACATAAACTGAACATTCAAACATCTTAAAATTAAACTTTAGAAACAAAAGTTTAACATTCAAACTGGAGTATAGTTTACAGGGAACACCCAAGAAAGATAATTTGTTGTCTAATCCAGAATATTTGATAAAGATCACTTAATGGTAAATAAAACGTGTTTAACCATCAGTCCTATTCTGGCCAACATGTTAGTTATGACCGTGGTTCCATACCTGAGAAGAAATTACTAAATAAATCTTCTCTTAGGCTAAACAAGACTTGGCCTAGAATTCAGAGGGGGTAATCAAAGCACATAAGTGAACAAACAAAACTAAAGTGTTCTTTAGAGACAAAGGTAAAAGTATGTCCATTATAATAATCTTAGCCTCTGGAAGATAAGAATTCAATTTTCAGTGTTTTCTCTTTTACCCGCTTTAAAAAACAAAATCAAAACAAAACAAACCCTAACTTAGGTTTTCTTGGAGTCTGTGGTATTTGCATCTTGCAAGTTCAAACCACAAATGCTCTTACGTCTTGCATGTTTAACACTGCTAGAAAGAACGTCACCAAAAGTCACTGACTTCCACACCTCATAAAAGGATGATTTTTAGCTTCAAGATTTTAGATTTACTAGAGACAGCCTATATTTGAGTATGTATGTCAGTCATGCCACACAAAGAAAAGCATAAATTATTTCCAAAGTGTTCTCTGTTCAGAAACTGTTCACGAATGCTTCTCCTTCTGTTCGTCAGATGGTTCTCCAATAGTCTGACTAATGCACATACATGTAAAAACCTGGAAATTGGCTCATGCAAGCGTTTTTGAATTAAGATACCCCTGTGGAAGAGTACTGAGAATTATTTTGTTGATCGTCTCGTGGGCTCTGACGCTGTGGGAGGTGGGGGTGGACCCCGGCGATCCAGGTCATCCACATAGGCCACAATCAGTTTACGCCTCTCTTCTGGCACACAGTCTAGTACTAGATACCGTTTGTCGTTCTGCAAAATTTTTTCTACATCTTTCAGGTGCTGATCAGATTCCTGGATTAGCTTTTTGGATCTGAAATAAGAAAACAAGTCCAAGAATTACTGACTGCTGTTCACAGGTCTTTCAGAAATGAGCTGGAAATGTCCATCTAGTTCCTAATTGTGTTTCCATTTTTTTTTTTTTTTTTAAGAAAAATTTCACTGCAGTGGTCACCTTTGTAAATCGCCTCAGCAAAGACTCCAAGGAGTGAAAGGGCCTCAGAAGCTGAATTACCCTCCCACCCCTACTGGTGGTCCCTCCAGATCAGGGCTGAGGGTGGGTGGGTAAATCTTGCCCGTGCTGTACCTGTTCTGTGGATGAACAGAGGACTTCAGTCTGCGGGGCTGCCAATCCCAGCATCTTTCACAAGCTTTCACTTTCACATCTTTCACTAAATTAACTATAAAAATGTAGAAAGAAGTCTTACTTCACATCTAATTTAAAAGCCCAAGCTGATGCAAAACATTAAGGATCCTGACCAAAAAATCCAATGACAAAATACCTAAAAACCACACCCTCAGCACTATCTATCCTCCCGTGCACATACCCTTCATTAAGATGTTTCCAATTTTTCTCTTAAAGGAAGAAAAGCTGGAGCATGAAACAAAACTGCTTTCCTGTGCACTGACTGCTAAGCATTGAGCATTGTAAACTTGTTTTCCTGATGGTAAAACGGTTGGGAATGTGGAACTACTGGGCACGTTACAGAGAAATCTTGTCTAGAAACTGATTTTTATCGTTTAAAATTTGTATTTAAAAGTATCCAGCAAACTGCTATCATCTGGAAAAAAAAAAGGTTTTGCTGAGCTTAAGAGGATTTCAAGCTTAAGAAATGTTCCACAACACTGAATAGTCTTCACAGGAGGCAGAGACAATGGACAGTGAAGGACTGTTTAAGAAATCTCTTCACAAATACAACTCTTATCAAGCGGGGGGTACTCCTAAAAAAGCAGTGAAGTAAAAACAAAAGTGTGTTTAAAAAACTGGATGGGTGGGTAACACAAAATAAGAATTGACATCTGGGCCCTTTCTTTAAAAAAAAAAAAAAAAAAAAGTAAGGTAGACATGGGCTGTATTTGGCCTTTAATAAAATTGGCTTCTTCTTATTCCTAAAAATTAATAATGTCAACATGTGTGTGAATGCATAGAATGCTCTGGCCATTAGAGTAAGGACTAGTAAAGACAATGACTGCGGATATGAAACATTTCATTGCACACACCTATATGTTATAAATTTGGTCTCTTTCAAAAGCGTCCTGAAGTCAGCTTTGGCTGTGATGTACTTGTCTCTGATGTATTCTTCAAACTCTCTTTGTTTTTTCTGCAAAAGGACAGTAAGATTTAAAAAAAAAAAGTCACAAATTCCAAAATTACTATCAATTATTTATTAAACCGGTAATTTGTAAGTCACATCATAAATAATTCCAAAGAAAAAGGCTAGAAAGTACATTTTTGTTCACGCAGCATTCATTAAACTGCAAAATATGCAATGTACATTTTTAAGGCAAAAAGAAGCCAAGAACAAGGAACCACTCAATATATTAGCAGTAGCTAAAGCCCGAGGGCTTGCAATGTGCTACACTGTGCTGAGGGTTTTATCAGGATATCTCCTTTTGTGTTCCTAACAACCTCAAGTGGTAGACACTCTTGAAAATAAAGAAATTAAGGGGGTATTTCCTGTAGACTGTACTTCTATCTTCTAACACCAAGACAATAATGTGGTATAACTTATGGAGAACCCCAAATAACATTCATAACTTAGTACTAACTGATCCTGAGCATTTAGCTTTTCTAGTAAGGAACAGGCATCATGGGTATAAACTCTTTGGGCTAATATTAATAATGACAATAATAATAATATTAAAAAGTATTATTGTCAATTTAAACAATCAGAAAAGTTAGAAACTAAGACTAGACCTGTCAGCTATCGGTCCACCACTCTTTCCCAGCCATGTGTACTTTGTGGTCCACACATCTACAATCCATCTTTTTTTTTTTTTTTTTAATTTTTTTTTTCAACGTTTATTTATTTTTGGGACAGAGAGAGACAGAGCATGAACGGGGGAGGGGCAGAGAGAGGGAGACACAGAATCGGAAACAGGCTCCAGGTTCTGAGCCATCAGCCCAGAGCCTGACGCGGGGCTCGAACTCACGGACCGTGAGATCGTGACCTGGCTGAAGTCGGGACGCTTAACCGACTGCGCCACCCAGGCGCCCCTACAATCCATCTTAAGGAAACGGGGAAGAATAATAGCTCTATGGGGTTGTGCACCCTAGACCTAGAGAAACCAACTGGGAAAGGAGAATGATGGGGAGAAGGAACAAATGAAAGGCCAAGGGATAAAATAAGACTGCGGTCAGCTACCCTATCCTTGGCATCATTCACTATTTCAGAACCCAGGGGAGCTCATTTTCCACACAGGAGTGAGAGCGTCCCAGAACAGGGCTCAGCTTCTATAAACTTCCCCCATCTGCAGTTCCTCTACTCCAGTCTCCGGGGCATGTAACAACAAAAGATCACATTATGGCATTCTGCTAACATGGCTCTGGTGCTCTGACAGCCTGGTATCCATGGCCAGGTTGAAAATGTCTATGTAGTGGGACCTGACTATACCAGAAACAAAAACTACAGCTTCAGTAAAGCTCTAACATCCCAGAACACAGGCTTAACCCCAAGGATGACATTTTTACAGTTTCTACTTTGCTGTCTTATTAATGTATAGTGCAAGATAAAAAAAATATGACCTTAAAATTCAGATTTACTTCTCATACTCTTAAGTTATTCACTTAAAACCATCAATGTCAGTTTAATCAAAATACATACTGGTGGTGCTGATTAAGCCCACATTTAATATTTATCAACTGACAGTAAATCTCAGACAAAATCCTCTTACCCTGTCACTGGAGGAGAACTTAATGCACCGAGGATCTTCCTTAATGATTTTTTTTACTTCTTTCCATGTGGATGTTAAGGTAATCTTTGAAAGGCAAGGAATAAAAAACACAAATACAACTCACTTTCATCGCAAAGATCAAATGGCGGCAGCACATACGGTACACAGTATTGCACGCTGGCCTACAATCTCCTGTAATAATGCCCAAATGTAATTGGACTAGCTAGAGACAGGAAGCAGCTTTAATACAATTTCTTTTTGTTGTTGGCCACCAGAGTTATATTCATGGTCCTATTTCAAGGTGGCCTAAGACAATCACCTGCAAACCCTGAATCCCCATAGGCAACACTGTAACTTCTGAAGAAACCACCACCAAAAGGAGATCAGGTATCAGAAGAAAACGTGAACGACGGAGGGAAGAAAGGGACCATGGGACGAAACTGAAAATGGAGCAAAAGATGCAATCCACTCAGTCTATCATTCTATCATTAGGAGGGATCAATGATCACACAACAAAGCCCAATATCAATCACCAGGAATGTGAAAACTGCGGCAGGAAGTAATTTCTAAATAGTTAAGAATGCCATTAACATTTTACTTAAAAAAGAAAAGAAAAAAAAAAAACAGAAAAGAAAGTGTATAAAACCCATGCATTCCAGTAAGAGATCTAAAGACCACGACACTACGATGTTTTTGGAATTATTCTTTTTTTTTTTTTTTTTTTTAATTTTTTTTTTCAACGTTTATTTATTTTTGGGACAGAGAGAGACAGCATGAACGGGGGAGGGGCAGAGAGAGAGGGAGACACAGAATCGGAAACAGGCTCCAGGCTCTGAGCCATCAGCCCAGAGCCCGACGCGGGGCTCGAACTCACGGACCGCGAGATCGTGACCTGGCTGAAGTCGGACGCTTAACCGACTGCGCCACCCAGGCACCCCTGGAATTATTCTTAAAGACCCATTTAGATTAAAACAAGGAAAATAAGAGACTTACTGCAGAAGTTTCATCCAGAAGTTGCCTAAAGTGCTCCCTCTTCTTTTTGGTAAGTGCTTCAATGTGTTCATTAAAAAGTTTCTCTTTCTCCTCTCTTTCCAACAAGGATCCAGATTCCCAACGGTGATCTTTTCGGAGAGTCCTCCGAGTATCAGACCATGACACATCTGAAGAACGTACCTAAAAACGTACCAACAAATTCTATCACCAAAGATCTCTTTTTTCACATTTCAACAATAAAAGGCTTATTTATTTAGTTTAGGAATGATACAATTAATAACGGAAGCTTCTGGTGACTCCACCTTAAACAGTCACACCAGAAATCCCACCTCTCAGAGCTCACCCAAGCAAGCTATCAAGTATGGATTCAGAGGTGTAGAAAGATGAAGAGAATTACTTTAATCGTACTTAGGCACTCTATTTAACATCTTACCAACCTTCAGTAGGAGAAATAGATAGAAATAAAACAGGAAATATCTTGCTACAGGACTAAAGAGGTGACAGGAAAAAAAACCCACCAACAGATCTTGAGCTCAAATTTGTACTTATCAACTACATACTGGAAGTGACATTTCAAAGCATAAGCAAGAATTAACATGGTAAGAGAAGACGTGACAGATCAGGCTGGTTCAACAACCAGCACAAGGCTATACTTCACTGCTGGTAATGGCAATACAAGTTACTGCTAGTTACACCACTGCCAATGCTAAGAAATATGGGAGGCTAAAAAGACAGAAAGGTGAGAAAGAATAAAAATATAAAAACATTTATTTAATCAACATTTATCAAGCACCGAAAAATGAGTCAGCTAAACATGGAGCTTGGTACTGGAAAAACAAAGGAAGACACTACCCCTTCCTTCAAAGGACTCAACTTTTTTAAGAGAAGAGAGGCAAGTAAGCAAGTAACGGCAAAAGCACATAATAAGTGCTGTGAGGTATATGCTGACCACAGGGCAGGCAAAGGGAACAGTGAAAACAAATCTGCCTTAGATGGGTCAAGATCAGCCTCACAGAAGAGATATTTGGGTGTGCTCTTGAAAAATGAGTTTTCAAGCGCACTCAAAGTATTCTAGGTGGAGGGATTAGCATGACTAATGCCAGAATTCATTAGGTGTAAATATGGTTCATTAGAACTAAGTGCAGAAAGGCTAGAGCTTAAAGGGGCAAGAGAGAAAACCAAAGAGGGTAACATAACATGAAGGTGGTGGGGGAGTTAAGGAATGAAGTCATATATTATGCTAAGACAACTGAATTTTAAATGTTTGCAACCACTAAGAGTAGAGAAGCTTCTCTCTGTGAAAGCAACAGGGAGAGTGACAAAATCAGATTTGGTTTTTAGGATGATTTCTGTGACTGCGATAAAGAAAATGAATGTGAGGAAAAGTAAACGCAGGGAAAGAAATCAGTGAATGACTGTAACTAGCCAGAGAACAGAAAGAGGAAACTCAAAACATACCAGCAGAAGCAAGGGAAGAAATCCAAAGAACTGACAGTAGTAGTAACAAGAAGAGTCCTTATGAAAGAGAGAAAAGAAATAGTAGGAGAGATGGTGACACAGAGACGGGACAAAACATGTGGAACAGCAGAGTGGCCTCGGTGCACTGGCTCTACAGACAAAACCCTACACACCTCAGCAACCCTGGGTGATGTGCAGAAGCGCTGGCAAGAAAATTCCAGAGTATCTATCTCCTGGGGTCAGTACACCTCCAGTCTAGACCTCATACCATTTACACGTACAATCATTCATCACCACAGTGGTGACCCTAAATCACCAAGCAAAAGGTTTAATTCTATTCAGCACATTTTGTTTATTACTATGGCATGTAAGTGTGTGATAATTTAAGATGACTTCCATCAAGAATAAAAAGTTATCTTTGACACTAAAAGATTATACATCTTTATATGTACAAAGAAACTTCTGAAAATGTTAAATAACAATGGTTTTCTTATTCTAGTGGGTGCTAATACTATTTTAAAACACTTTATGAAACTTACCAAATTATATCTCTCAGATTCCATTTAAAGAATATTAAAATTTGCACTAACAAGACAACCTAATAGATCTCTAATATCCAGTACTTAAGGGACAGGGCTGGGGGGGGGGGGGGGGGGGGGGGGGGGGAGGAGCGGGGAGTGAGAGGAATATATACCATGTCAGATAAAAGAGCCTTGAAATTCTGGATAGCTTCTTCTCGTTTGTGTTGCTCTCTCTCTCGATCTATTTCTTTTGTTTGTTCTGAACGTGCCTTTTGAACCTCTCTTTCTCGTTCTCGAAGGCTTGCCTCAATGCGGGCTTGCCTTTCAAGCTCCTTTTCTTTTTCTGAGTCCAAATTCTATAAAGTAAAATTACATTATCAAGATATGTTTCCAGAGTAAGTGGCTTGCCAAATACAGAATTTCAAACCTGGGTTTTACCAAGAATATACATTAACACTGTACCTCGTTTCCAAATCAACTACATGTGCTAGAGATCCTTATATTAATTATACTGACAGGAAAAATTCCAAATCCCAAACAGCAGCTAATACCTTTATGATGCAATTAAGAATTTTCTTATTCCATATTTATAGTATAAATAAACACAATAGTTACCTTGGCTATTTTTTCAATGTACTGTTTGAAAAGGTCTTCTCTCATTGAAGAACTATCCACTGCCTTGTAACGTGGATCACTTTCTACTTTGTCTTTTACTTTGCTCCATCGGGACTGACTGTCCAAGTGATGATTAGATAACAGTTCAAAGAAATCCGATTTAATCTGTATTTCAAAACATATCAGGGAATGGGGGGTGGGGGGAATCCACCATGAGAAATTCCTCATATGCAAATGTTTACAACCAGAAAAAATTGTTCACTTACCTTAAAGATGAGAATAATAACTTTTTAAATTCATTTATTTATAGTGGAATAAATTTTAGTCAAAAAGAGTATTAGAATTGCTCTTTCATGATAAATATAAAAACCAACAGACATAAACTCTCATTTAAAATCTACCAAACTCAAGATAAATCATTTTCTCCAAATTATTCAAATACAGAAAAAAAATTTTTTTAGGTTTTTAACTTTTTCATTTCAGCAATGCCACGTTTTTATAAGAGAGAAGAATTTATATTTATTTTTAGATAATAATCAGGCTTATGAACTGACAGTAAACTACATTTTAATATCAAGTTAATAATAATGACTTATTTTAAAAAGTAGATGAATATAATTTTTGTTTGTTACAATAGGGGAATTTAGAAATAGATGAGCACAAATAATAAGTCTCATTCATTAGAAACTTGGAACGGTACTGCCAAATGTCTAAAAACAAGTAAAACGCAGGGTAAATTTTTGTATTTTAATTAATAAAAAATCAATGCCTGTACCCTTATATATAAATTATAGGATTTCTATGATCATAATTAATCATTACTTTAAAAACTATATTCAGATTTTTGGTATTTTTTAGCATTAAACATGTATACCTTTATAACTCAAATCTGTTAATAAATTAACATTCTGAGCCAATCAAGTACCAACTCAGTAAAATTACACCAAGTTTATTAAAAGATACTAATCCTTTGGTAGCAACATGTACAATACTTAGAATCCTTCTCCCAAACTGTAATTCTTATTTTTTTAAATAGGGGATAAAGAAATAAAGAAAGCGTTTATTTTTACATAACTTTGAGGACCTGTTTTAAAATTCAGTATCATTCAAGTTATCTTGTACTCCTATGAGGGGAGACACCAGAGGCAGCCAGTCAATTCAATAGAGAAGTCAGACCATGTCAAGAACCTCTCTTCCCTGTAGGAATTAAACATGCTGGCTTCCCACGTGACCAAAGGAATCAGAAATTAGAAATGGAATCACATTCTTTCTGCCTATTCCAAACTCTCATTTCCCCTAACAGAGAATTAAGAGAGGATAATGTCGTTTCTGGAAAACACTAGTAAGATTATAAGAAAAGAGTTTCTTTCCTATTAGAGAATTTTTTAAAAACCAAGAGCTAATCAGCTGTGGATTTCTTTTACTACTGAACTTGGCTCTTGACTTTGTAGTAATAAGAAATACTCATAAATCCAGTATTTTCACACAATGAAAAAGCAACTACTTGATATAGTGATGTAACAATTTTTCTGTTCATCTTGTCTACTTTGTATCTGACATGATGAACACCAAATTCCTAGATGCCTGTGAAAACTAGAAAGCAAAATTTACAAAATTTATGTTAAATAAAACATGCAAGCTACTTTAAACAGGAATCTTTCCAAGCCAATTTCCAAGTCAATTTATATTGACTTAAGACAATTTTCAAATATTAGACACAAAGCCTACAAATGATTATCTTACAGTTTTAAAAATGTGTGATGTATAAACAGTGAATTTTAAATAAAATTAAATTTTAACTTCCTCTCACTGTGGATATTACCATTACAGGCTATACATGGCTTACCAAAGCTGCCATTTGTATGAGAACTATCAACAACTGCATAAATGTCAAAAAATTTAAGTTACCCATTAGCAGCAATCCAAAACTCCACATTCCCAATTTTCTTCTCTCCCCAAATCAAAGTACCTTACCATCTAGGCTGTTCACTTTAACAGGGAAAAACAGTCTCCTAAGCCTAATGTACTGTAACATACTTAACTTGTTCAGAAGAAAATTTAAGTGAGGAAAGAGAGAAAAATGCACTTCATGAGAGGATTAACTCTATTGTGTGCAACTTCAAATGTGTTGTTCCAAAAGGTATCTTATTTGAACCACAGTTTAATAAAAATGGGTTATACAGTATAATAAAATTTAAAAAACCTTGAAGGTAGCTACTTTGGCAGACAAAACAGTCTAGCAGAAGTAAGCAGAATTTTAGGGGCATTTTTTATAAAATGGAAAATTACCAGTGAAAGCTACCTGCAAATGATTTTTCTCTTTAGCTTGAAAATGTCTACCAAAGGTGGGGGCTACTTCACCAAAAGTCAGTGTCCTTTACAGGTTTTTGACTTAGCAAAAAGCTTTTATTATCTGGCTGTTAACTGCATTACCTCAATACTACAAACAGCAATTAGAGAATCATAAGAATAAAGAAAGCAAACTCCAATAAACTAGCACCATGCTACGAGCACTAATCTTACTATTCAATTACATACAGCTAAAATGGGGTTTTAAAAAAAAACAGTATAGACAATATACTTCATAGGGATAATCATTAAAAGTCATGAAGAAAGTAATAAAACTTCATTAACCAGCTACTTCTCAGACCGTGAATATAAAATACACTGTATTTAAACTCTTAAAGATTTGTTCCCAGGGCCTAGTTAGTAAGTAATTTTGCATTCTTTAAATTGGCTGAGAAAGTTTCACTTATTTCCTGCCTCTTTTTTAAAAATTTAGTAAAGGTACAAAGCCAAACCTATAACTTAGAGAATTATTTTACAATCAAAAGAAAGTAAAGCTGAATACAGTAGGTTTATTTAGATGCAGTATCTATTTAATTTACTTTAACACATTTTGGGCACAACTCTCATCACTTCATAAGGAAAAAAGACTAAAAAAATGTAAAGTACCGGAACTGCGGGAGGCTAAAGTCACCACACAGAGATACCAATTCTTTCCTCACTAGGGAATCCCATAATACTTTGCGTATCAGTGATTGACAGCTGTCAGACTGAACTGATTGACAGGCCGCACAGCACAAAACTGTAAAGTCTATCCACTTGTTATAAAACAGAATACACAAAATAGTTACAAAAAGAGTGTTTAGAAAAAGAACATTGGTTATAAATGCAAAGAGAAAAACATTCAATTTGTATAAAAGCAATCACACAGTATCAACTATTTATTTTACTTGGTATTCTTTAATCAAATAAGGTATTACCAAAAGTCAAAAGTAGCAAACAATACATTAACATGATTCTAATTCAGCATACACAATGTTTACACAGAACTCAATTCTGCACATTTCCTGAGAAGCATAATCATTTGTGGAAAAAAAAAAGTTAACGGTGAAATAATAATTCTGGAAGAATCTCCACTGAAGCCCAAGAAACCAGATAATCAGGAAATTTCAGATATTTCTGACAAAAGTTATTTCACCCAATACTGTTGCTATTTACAGTGCAGGAGGCTTGAGCCCATTAAGAATGGTATTACTTCCCTCATGACATTCCTTAATAGAATTTGTGATGTTTTAACTTTCTGGAATGAGAGCCCATTCTAAATGTCAAAAATGATTAGGCTTCAGAGGTTCTTCATCTCCATCCACAAAGCACACAGGGGGACTAAGGAGAGTGGGTGCGTGTTCTGATGGCCCGCGCACCTCCGGTGCGGTCTCCACCCGCCTGCCTCCCCAGTGGTGAGCTCCTCTCCACTCCTGACACCACTACCAAGTGACATTTGGAATTCATTAATCTTTCATAGCTGACCTTTATTTCTGATAAGCAATAATTTATATGTAAGATATGTTTACTAAAAGATTAGAAAGTCACTAAAATGCTATCTGTTAGAAGGCAAAAAAGATAAAAAAGCTTTTTAAAATTTAAAGGTTACCGCTTATTAGGAATCTTGAATTTTAGCAGGCACCAGTGAGTAGAAAGATCTAACAGTCAGTTCCGGGTGTACTGGGCAAACTCAGTATTAATAAAATTTAAAGCAAATCTATGTACTTTAGTAAACTTATTAAAATGAGCATTATGGAAGTAAAGTGACTGAATACACACACGTAAACAACTGTAAAAGTGAACTTACAAAGCTAACCAGTCTGGGGGTCCTGTGATCTATGCCCATGAATGAGATCAGAAAAACATGGCCCCAGCTTAGTCTCTTCCCATTCACGCTCCTGTCAATCACCTCATCTTACCTTCTCACCTCTGGTCTTCGAATCTTCTTTCTCTTTCTTCCTTGCAGCTGCCACAAATTCATTAAACAAGGCTTCTCGATCTTTCATCTTTTCAATTGCTTTGAATCTTGAATCTTTAGCATGCTTGGCTGCAAATTCACTAAAAGTAGCTCTGTAACAAAATGGCAAGTGTGCTAACTTTGGTAGAGCTATTTCTGCTTATAGAAAGGTATAGAAGAAGATACCATTTTTCCAGCCAGAATATGTGCCAAAGACTCACTAAGTCCCAACATTTGCCTAAAGAGTAAACAATGAGCTACAGAAAGGAGTACAAGAGGGCTAAAGGGTGAAAATGTCGTTGGTGATTTGTACGCTGTCAAGCATGACACTGGGGGATAACACATCAGAGAACAAAAAATGTATGTGCTTCAAGAGACTTAAGAGCTCATCTATTTCCACACTAAGAAGAGGCTGAGTCTTGCTTCTAGCCATGGTGGAGTTAACTACCGAATTAGATCTCCTTCCAGAAACAACTGAGAAAGAAGACAAATGTATGAGGCAAATGATTCCAAAACAGTGCATAATAGGTAGGGTAGTAGTAAGACTGAGGAAAGGCCCACTGCCCTATGCCGCAGGACAATTTCCCAAGGTACAGAGAGCTACAGTCCAAGCAGAGTACAGCAGTCCCAATAGCTACAAGTAGTAAAGATCAGAGTCTGGGTGTTAAAATGGCAAGGGAAGAAGCTCTAGAAAGATAGTACCCAGTAAATATACCACAAGGCGATTCCCCATGAATAGATGGCCAAGGCTGAAGGGTACAATAGCAGGGAAAAAACGCATCCCCTGCCAAAGTGCTACCTGGTTAAGAGCAAAAAACAAATGTTAGAAACTGAGTAGTGCAGAAAAAGAACAGCATTAGGACACTAAAGTCCACAAAAGCTGCACAATGGAGACAAAGCTGGACTGTTGAGAAACTTCCAACTTCTGAGACCCACACTAACAAAGCCTTAAATCAAAGCTATATTCAGGTGATCAGCCTGTAACTAAACTGCCTGCGAAAACAAAAATCCACTCTTCAGAGTAAGGGAACAGACTTTCAGAGTCTCTATAATCCACTATTTTCAATATTCAATCAGACAACACTAAACATACAAAGAGTGTATAACCCAAATCAAAAAAATTTTTCAATCCACAGAAACTGAACTGAAAATGCCCAGACGCTGTTCTGGAAGAGACAAATCCTTTAAAAATATTGTAATTATATTGAAAGAATTTAAGAAAAATAGATTCAAAGAACTAAAAACATGGCCTTAATGAATGAATAAAAGGGAGTTTTAGTAAAGACACAGAAAATAGGAAAAAAGAACCTAAAACTGAAAGGAAAAATTCATTGGGTGGGCTTAACAAAAGAGTAGACCTAAAATAAAGAGCTACTGACTCCAAATTAGATCAGTAACAGTTATCTAATCAAAAGAATACACACAAAAAAAAAATTGGGGGAGGAGGGGAATAGTCTCAGGGATTTGTCAGATAATTAGAATTCTAAAAGAGAAAAGAATCAATCAGAACAGAAAAAATGCTGATCAAAAATTTTCCAAATTTGATGAAAACATCAATGCATAGATCCAAAAAGAAAAGCAAGCTGCCAAGAAGGCTACATAAAAAAATGAGGCCTACGAGGGATAATGAGGCTCAGTATAAAAAAAAACTTTCTCCACAAATAAAAGGCATTTATAATTCATACATTTGGATGTATTTCAATATTTGAAGCTTTCACTTCACACAATAATTTGTCTTATAATAAATACTCCCATATTTAGCAAGTTTTTTTTAGAAGGGAAAGCTAAATCTTACTCTCTCCCTTTAAAAACTGTTTATTTCAATACAAATATAGAACACATCTTCTTAGGTGTTAAAGCAAAGATTATATTACAACTTTAATTGTAAATAAACTGGTTAACTTCAGAATTTAGTATTTAAAACATCAACTGAAGATTACGAGTACCATTCACAGCTAACATTTGCTATTTTGAAGCTTTGCTAACCAAACCCGGATTCTAATAATCTTTTACATATAACTATCATTACTCACAATACCTAATTTCATTAATTCAACACTTTTTAACAACAGGATACAGTGCAAACCTGGTTTGAATAATGGATAGGTAAACTCAATAAAAGTTTAAATAAAATAAAAACGTGTATCCCAGAAACAGGATGACATACACGTAAGTCCACTAAATCTGTTTTGTTTTCATGATAAACTAAGCACCTTGCATTATAATTTTAAGAGAGAATTACTACTATGATTAAAGAATAAACCTGTTTTTAAATGTAAAATCGGGGCACCTGGGTGGCTCAGTCAGTTAAGCATCCAACTTCGGCTCAGGTCATGATCTCGCAGTTCATGGGTTGGAGCCCCACGTTGGGATCTACACTGACAGCTCAGAGCCTGGAGCCTGCTTCGGATTCTGTGTCTCCTTTCTCTCTGCCCCTGGCCTGCTTGTGCTCATTCTCAATCTCTTTCTCTCAAAAATATACATTAAAGGGGTGCCTAGGTGGCTCAGTCAGTTAAGTATCTTGGCTTCGGCTCAGGTTGTGATCTCACAGTTTGTGGGTTGGAGCCCCACGTCAGCTCTGTGCTGACAGCTCAGAGACTACAGCCTGCTTTGGATTCTGTGTCTCCCTCTCTTTCTCCCCCTCCCTGCTCGCACGGTCTCTCACTCTCTCTCTCAAAAATAAACACTAGGGGCGCCTGGGTGGCGCAGTCGGTTAAGCGTCCGACTTCAGCCAGGTCACGATCTCGCGGTCCGTGAGTTCGAGCCCCGCGTCGGGCTCTGGGCTGATGGCTCAGAGCCTGCAGCCTGTTTCCGATTCTGTGTCTCCCTCTCTCTCTGCCCCTCCCCCGTTCATGCTCTGTCTCTCTCTGTCCCAAAAATAAATAAAAAACGTTAAAAAATAAAAAATAAAAAAAAAAAAATAAACACTAAAAAATAATTTCTTTAATAAAAACATTAAAAAACTACAAATAAAATATAAAATAAATTTCTAAAAGTGAGAATTATTTTACACATATTTATATCATTTGTAATAAAATGGGTAAAATAATTATTTTTCACTAGAAAAGACTAAAATGAAATTTTAGCATTAGATTGTGATAGAGATTTTTCTAGGACTCATCTCTCAACTCCAGAAAGTGCTGCTTGGTAAACAGACAGTCACTCTTTTCTCTCAGGGAGAGGTGAGGGTGGATAATAGTGGTAGGAGACTGGGAAGTGACCAGGAACTGACCCAAGGAGATATGCCTTGAAATTTCTTTCAATCCAAAAAGAAAAAAGACATAGAAATAGGCACTAAATTCTCCCTGGTCATTTTTTCCTTCAGAATAAACTCCAATGTTTCTTATCTACAAAATCTAGTTATAATATATAGTCTCTTCCCATTTCAAAGAGAATTTAAGTTAGCGGACATATTTTCTCAATTTTAAGTTTTTCCTCCTCATTTTCTGCTACTTACTAAATTTGGTCCTAATCTCTAGGGTCACGTTAAATGCATCAATGTAGCAATACAGCACAATGTCCCAAGTGCTAAGACTTCTAGTTATGTGTCTCATGGCTTTATTTTCTGAAGTAACCTGCAAGGTACAGCTTGCTCCACCAATTCTGTCAGCCCCAAAAGAGCACCCGCCTGGGTACTGGGATAGAGCAGTAACTTAATTTGTCAAATCCACAAAATGGAAATCTCTTCAGAGTCTCAGTTATTGTCAGATCCATAAGGGTTTTAATAAATAAATGTATTTTGCTGAATCATTTGAAAATAAGCTGCAGACATCATGAGACTTCATCTATAACTATTTTAGCATGCATCTCCTCAGAGCAAATCCTTTTTCCTCTATAACCACCGTACCCAAGAAAATTGTGAATTCTCTAATACCATGTAATACCAATGCATCCATGCTCAAATCTTCTCAACTGCCTCCCCAAATGTCTTTTATAACTGAGTCACAAGTACTGACCCATGAACTCAATGTTTTGATTAACCAAAAAGAAAGGACCAAGACCCCTCGGAGAGTCTGAAACTCTACTCTCCCCTGACAAATGTTACGTTCTTCAGAGCTCCAAATACTCTATTAACTTTATTATCTGAGATGTATATTAATGCCCTAGGTTTCTCTTCATGTTTCAAATATAAAATTATAATATTAAATATACTTTCTCAAACAACATTCTCTCGTCTACTTCCAATGACAAAAGTAACCGTTTCAACAAGATGAACTTTATAAAAAGTGCCATTTAAACAAGACACTCCATAATTCTACCCTACAGTTTTAAAAATTATCCACATTATGAGGTATTCACAGCAACCAAGTAACCAACACTGTTGCCAAAACTAAACCATAAATAAAAAGTAATTTTCTCTTGCCTAGACTATTCTGTATTAACACTGGAATCCAGTTGAAATCCTACATTCACTTGGGTAAGGTATGAGACAAGCATATAAATCTATACTGGCTGTTTTAGAAGACTGAGTGAGATAATGAGATAACGTGTGTATACGTATATGTGCTTCTAGTGCATGTATGTATGTATGTATAAGTTTGTACATACAACTTTTTAAGTGCACATAAGATATCCGCTAAATGATGCCAAATATTATTGTTTTTATGATGCTAGTCACGTAAGTTTTAAATGTCTCCTCTTCTACACCCCATTACACATACTCATTAACAATCAACTGAATTAACAATCAACTGAAAATATCAGACAAAAACATATCTAGATACTGCCTCTCACAGAGCACAAGAGGTTCCTTTAAAGGAAATATATTAAGAATAAAGATTAGAAATGCATAACCAATAATGAAATAAACTTTTCATGTCCAATTATCCAAAAGATACATATTCTCTTAGCTGATCTTAGAAGAAAGCACATACATATTTTGAAATGTTACAGTAATGAACCATATACCTTGGATTAAATTTTGCTTCTTCCATCATTTTTTTGAAATCTTCCTTGGCTTGCATTATTTTGTTTTTCTTTTCCCTGCGTTCTTCCTCTGCCCTCGTCTTTACATATTGATCAAATACCTATCACAAAAATAAACCAATTGGGCAAGTTAGTCTTCCATAGGAATAATTTAATTACCAAACTATGGAATCTGTAAGAAAATACTGAGTCAATGTCTTTGTCCAAACTATAATAGAAAAAAATGAATTAGATATCTCAATTGTATGCAGATTATCTGTAGCAAGTCTCACTTTAAAACTTCAGTTGACAGTGTTACAGAAGCACACAAGCCCTCTGCTGAGACTTCCAGAACAAAGTTAAAAGCCCCTTTAATTTTCATTGTCCCTGATTACAAACTCAATACACGCATATTAAAAAAATTTCAGGGGATATAAAATATGTAAATTACAATCCTTCCAAATCTCTTCTAGAAAAAAAACGTTAAGAGTATGGAACAGATAATTTACATTTATTTCTGTGCTTCTTTTTAAGACATAATTATCTCTACCAAAATGTAATGCTTTACATCTATCCCATAATATTTTCCCCCACCTAATCATGTACAGACAAGATAATAAACTGAACATGCACATCTATTTCCTTTCTTCCAATGCCAATACAATGACGAGAGGATTTCCCTTTTTAAGTCACAAACCAACAAGACCAGGCAAATGGGAAAAAGAAAGAGCAAGTCCTGAAGATGAAAAGCACAAGGATAAGCAGTAAAGGACTGGCAAAAATGAGAGAGCTGACCCAAATTCAGCGGTCAAGAAAAGAAACCAATTCTTTTTTTATTAGAGAATCCTCAAACAGTTCCAGAAGTGACAGCACCAGATATCCATGGAAGTGAGGGCAGAGTACAGCTACAATAAGGCTGTTTAAGAAGGAGTCCATCAGAAAATCTCCCTTGCCAACAGCATGTATCTGGGGGCTCTGCCACTCCTGAGCCTCAGTAAAAGGCAAGTGATTATTCTCTAGAACCAGGGTGGGCAATTCACAACCTGCTGGCCAAACTTGGCCTGCTGCCTATTTTTGTACAGCCCAGAAAGAGTTTTAACATTTTTTAAATAGTTAGGGAATAGAGAATTTTGTAACATTTCATGACATGTGACAATTAAATGAATCCAAATTTTAGTGTCCACAAGTAAAACTTTATTGGAATAGTCAGGCTCATTCCTTCACATCTATCTACCTGTGGGTGCTCCTTCATTACAGTAGCAGAACTACACTACTATGACAGAGACCAAATGGCCCCCAAAGCTAAAATATTTATTGTCTGACCCTTTATTTTAAAATGTTGCTAATTCTTGCTCTAAAAGGTAAAGCAGTATCTCTCAAGGTAAAGGGGGGGGGGGGGCATACCTAATTTAACATACTAAAGTAAGTTTTATTTTCTAATAAAACTAAGAAAATATACTGTAATCATAAAACAAGAAAAACTTAAAGAACAAAAAGAAATCCTACAAATTAAAGGACAGAAAAAAGAAAAACTCAAATTAAAGGATTTGACAATAAAGTTGAGAAAGTCATACAAAAGAAAGGGGCTGAGGTAGAAAATAGGTGAAAAGAGGGCGCCTGGGTGGCTCAGTAGGTTAACTGTCTGACTTCGGCTCAGGTCATGATCTTGCAGTCCATGAGTTCGAGCCCCGCATCAGGATCTGGGCTGATAGCTCAGAGCCTGGAGCCTGCTTCAGATTCTATGTCTCCCTCTCTCTCTGGCCCTTCCCCTCTCGCATGCTGTCTCTCTCTCTCTCTCAAAAATAAACATTAAAAAAAGAAAAATTAAACAGGTGAAAAGAAAATTTAAGGACTAGACCAAAAGGGCAAATTCTCTGTCCCAGAATGAAAAAATAAACAGGTTGGAAACAAATTCAAAAAAGCAACATAAGAAAATCTCCCAGAACTGAAAGACAGGAGTTTACATACTAAAAGGACCACGAAGCACCCAGCATAATGGGCCCCTTCCACCAAGGTACACAATCACGGTGAGATTTCAGAACGCTATATACACTAAGAGGAGATCCTACACATCCACAAAGGAAAAATAAACAGGCCCATAAACAAAGGCCCATAAACTGATGGCTTCAAACACAACACTGAAAACTAGAAAAAGAGCAACGTCTTCAAAATCCTGAAAGAGAAAGATTTCCAATTTCAAATATCTTAAACAACCAAACAATTTCAAATTAAGGGTACAACGAATGTTTGCAAACACGCAAGGCTCCAAAGTTTATCTCCCATGCATGTTCTCTCAAGAAGCTATTACAGGGATGGAATGGGTCAAAAGGGAGTAAACCAAGAAAGAAAAAGACTTATGATGAAGGAAACAGGTGAAGTCTCTACCCCCAAAAACAAGAGAGATGAGGGAAATCTCAGGATGACGGTAAAGACTGGTCACGTTCAAAAATAACAGCTGTATGTCAGGTGTAGAGGGTAACCAGTCCAAAATGAAGCAAGTCACATGCTCTGGAAGAAATGTTTTGAGAAAGATAAAACTGGGCAGCACTCTATTATTTTTCCTAGCATATTTTACAGAAATATTTGTCTCTTTAAAGGTGTGCATGTACATCTTTACAAAAGTCAAACAAAAAATGTTCTTTACAAAACTGAAAACTTTATTCCAGGTCAGGCCATGTCTGTCTACCAATCTTTAATAGCTATATAGAGATACCTACAACTATCTCGCCATCTCCCGCCAGGCACGTTAGCCATTTTCAGCACCATCCCAATACAGCAACTGCAATAAATCCTGAAAGCATGTGCAGGCTGACCCATGTGGGAAAGAGGGTTCTTCTCAAGCCCTCTCTCCCTTTTTGGTATATACTTTCTTATTTGTAAAAGTAGTGAACTACAAATAAACCCAATGAATTTATATTAACTTTCTTTTCAGAGGCTGGAGAAAACTTCACAACCCTTCCTCTGGGATATCCCACACCAAAGTTAGGAATCGCTAGCTGAGATCACCTTCTCAAAGAAAATTAGGAGTTCTGGTATGCTTCCAAGCTTCTCCTAATTATTTGTGTCATGCTTCCCAATACACGTGAGCTTTTTAGGTCCCCTATTTTAAGCGGTTATTTTCTTAAAACATCAACTTGTGAATGTTACAATAAACACCACAAAAGTTGTTAAGTTTTTATAAAAAATTTCTAGTAGACTTCTATAGATGTAATCAAAACATCCATATTAAAGAGCTACATTGTCTAAGCCAATGTAGCTTCTAGGGTGCTATATTCCATTTCTTTTCGTTTTTATTATTTTTTCAAACAAATTTTTTTGATGTTTATGTATGTTTGACAGAGACAGAGGGGGACAGAGGGCGAACAGGAGGGGGCAGAGAGAGAAGGAGACACAGAATCCAAAGCAGGCTCCAGGCTCTGAGCTGTCAGCACAGAGTCTGATGCAGGGCTTGAAACCATGTACTGCGAGATCATGACCTGAGCCAAAGTCGGATGCTCAACCAACTGAGCCACCCAGGAGCCCCTTCTTTTCGGTTTTAAACAACTTTATTGAGGTATAATTGATGTACAAAAAGGTGTTCATATTTAATGTATACAACTTGTGAGTTTGGAGATAAATATACATCTAGGAAACCACCACAGTCTATGACGTAAACATATCCACCTCCAAAAGGTTCCTCGAGCCCTTTTAATTTATTCTTATTTTTAAGTGATATTAAAAACCCTTAACATAAGATCTATCATCCTAGCAAAAATTTCAGTATACGATATAGTACTGCTAGCTATAGGCACTATGCTGTACAGACCTTCAGGACTTAGCCATCCTGCATAACCATTTCCATTTCTTAATCTACATAATTACACAGTATGCTCACTTTGTGAAATTTATGATGTTTAGATTTTAATGTATGTATATTTTTCTTCAACACAGAAGTTTGTGAAAAGTATGGGTGTGATACTGTGTTTTAAGAAAATATACATATATTTGCCATTTCCAACATGGATGGAACTAGAGTATTATGCTAAGCAAAATAAATCAGAAAAAGACAAATATTGTATGATTTCACTCATGTGTGGAATTTAAGAAACACAACAAATGGCAAAGGGAAAACACAATGGCAAAGGGAAAAGAGAGAAGCAAACCAAGAAACAGACTCTTAAGTACAAAGAACAAATGGATAGTTACCAGAGGGTAGGTGGGTGGGGAGGTGGATTAAATACGTGACAGGGATTAAGGAGTGCACTTGTGATGAGCACCGGGTATACCTGGAACTAATATTACAATATATGTGAAGTGGAATTTAAATTAAAAAGAAAAGAAGAAGAAGAAAAAAAAAAAAAATATATATATATATATAGTGTCTCTGTCCTGGCTCCTGGCAAGAGCTCCTAAAACCCTTTTAATTTCCTAAGTGATAGGAGAGACAGGAGCCTCTACTGTTGTACCTGGCTTTTGTCCTGTCGCTGAATTAGATAAAGGAGAAAAGAGCAAGTTTATATTATTCATACCAAGCCCCTTTCAACTACATCAAAGTTAGTGCCAGGAGGTGATTTCTGGAAAGTCTCTCTAGAAAACCACAGGATGGCAGATAGTTGCCAGTGGAATCAACCATGTGATTAGAACACTGGAACTTTCAATGGCTGGTGACTGAGTCCAATCACCAATGGTAAATGATTTAATCAACCATGCCTATGTAAGCTGTCCCCATAAAAATCATAGCCAAAAGCATTCAGAGAACTGCGAGCTTGGTGAACATATCCATGTACCAGGAGAATGGCACACTCCAACTTCACAGGGACAGAAGTTCAGGGACTCAGGACACTTCCAGACCTCGTCCCACGTGTCTCATCATCTGCCATTCAACTGTACCCCTTACCATATCCTTTATTATATTATAAACCAATAAACATAAGTGCTTCCCAGAGTTCTGTGAGCCATTATAGCAAATTATTAAAGCTGAGGAGGGGAACAGGGGAATCCCTGAGTTGTAGCTAAACTGAAGTGTGTAGAAGGTACTACTTGTGATAAGCATTTGAAGAGAGGGAAGGTCTTGTGGGTCTAAGCCTTTAATCTATGGGATATGATTCTAATTCCGTGTAGTGTCAGAATTCAATTCAATGGTAGGATACCAGCTGGTATCAGAGAACTGACTGATATAGAAAAATCCCTACACATTTGACGTCCAAGTATTCAATGTACAGAGGAACAGAGTTTTTCAAGACGCCTCTATTATTTCATTTCATTCTCATTTCAATTTAATTCAATTTATACTTTGATACTGATCCAGTAAAGAGTGGCCAAGACGGCCAGTTGACAATGAGTAACTATATTGGTAATGTATTACTATTTGTAATACATCAACCTTAAAAAGCTCTCAATAACACATACTACATTAAAATGCTTACTTTTGAAATAAGCTACCTTTTTTTTTTTTTTTTTAAAGGAGGCTTCATGCCCACCACTGAGCCCAACACAGGGATTGAACTCACAACCCTGAGATCAAAAGTCGGATGTTTAACCGATGGAGCCACCCAGGTGCCCCCAATTTTAAGTGTTAGCATAACTAGTCTCTGCCTCAGAGTCTAATATCCTGCATGGAAATGGTCTGCTTCTGTTTAAAAATGTTATTCAGTTTAAAACTTTGTCAAAACAGGGGCACCTCAGTAGCTTCGTTGGTTAGGCATCCAACTTCAACTCAGGTTATGATCTCACAGTTCGTGAATTCAAGCCCCGAAGTGGACTCCCTGCTGTCAGCACAGAGCCCACTTCAGATTCTCTGTCTCCCTCTCTCTCTGCCCCTACCCCACTCTATCTCTCTCAAAAATAAACGTTAAAAAAAAACTGTCAAAACAAAAAACAAAACAAAACTATTTCTGACTCAAGTGATCTTTTATCAAAAACAAGATTAAATAAAGAAAATCTTAAGTTAAAACTTATAGTTACAATTATATAAAATACTTCTAGAATGATGTAAAATATACATAAATGTACAGATATACGTAAATCTACAGATACATAGAAAAGTAAAAGAGATGCACTTGCAGACTGAGACATTTTCAATAAAATTGTTAGTTGTTTTAAATCAAAATACAAATTTCAGAAATGGAGTTACAAAGTGCAAATACACGACCTAGATACTTAATATGTAACTTAAATTAAACTTAAATTTAACTTAAATATGTAACTTAACTGGTTTCTCCCTGATTTTACACTCTCATGCAAATAAAACTAAGTACTAAAAAAGTACACATATTAATTCCAAATGTTTGCTTCTCCTTTCATTTCTTACACTCCAGTTTTAAGAATTTTACTCAAAAAGGATGAGAACCTTTAAGTAGTCTTTATTTAAATGGAAAAATGCTTGATATTTTTCGTCTTTTTAAGTATTACTCTTAATAAGAGGTAACACCATCAGCTTACAAAATGCCTGTAAAATTGGGAAAGAATTTTAGCTCTCAATATGCACTTGTAATTTAACTCAGAAACTATAACACTCAGCAGCATGAAGAGTCACGTCACTAAGGTTTTAAAGTAACCCTTCAGGGATATTTAGGTTAAGCACTGCTGCAGGCGTTACACATATAGCAATGAACAAAGTTCCAGCCCTCAGAATTTATATTCTGCAGCCGGAGAAAACAGTAGATAATTTTAGATAATTAGAGCTGTGAGTGCTATAAAGGAAAGAAAGCAGAGACACATGGCTCAGAAGGCACTTGGACAAGCACCTGAATAAAATCATGGGGCATATGCAAACACCTAGGGGAAGAACACTCCAGACAGAGGAAGAGCCAAGTATCGGAATGTACCCAGCTTGTTCAAAGCACAACAAAGGAACTGTGGCCAGAATGAATGAATCTAAGACAAGACCTTCAAGAACTATGCAGATAAGAGTGTAAGTATAATCTTACAAGCCATGATAAAGAATTCCAGTTTTATCCTAAATGAAATGGTAAGCAATGTACATTTTTTGAGCAAGGGAACAGTAACAGTGCCTTAATTTGCCTCTTAAATGTAAAATTAGTCTGGCTGCTATGTGGAAAAAGAACTTGACTCCAAAAAGCAAGAACGGAAGGAAGCAAAGAGGTCAGTCAGGGACTACACAGATGCTGAGAAATGGTAACGGTGCCCTGAACTACAGTGTTAGTGGGGGAAATGGTGAGTAAGTTGCATTTACAAGCTTTTGGAGGTAGATTTTGCTGACAGACTTGAAATGCACAGAGGGGAGAAGTAAGGAATCAAGAAATGATTTATACTTTTTGATAGAGACCATTACACACAGTTTAAAACACACACACACACACCCACACACACCCCTACTGTGTTTGAAATGCAGATGCAAGTATCTTTGGAAAGTCATGCTTTTCTATTACACAGACTAAAATACATGTCTGGCACAGTGTAAATTTCCTCTCTTTATAAAAAGTTTGTGATGAGACCTACATGCATAATGGCACAAACAGTGCAGAGAATTACGCCAACTATTAAATTACAAATCAAGAATAGACTACCAAATGAAATCTTGTCGTAGCTCAATAGCCCTCTAGCAAGTAGTTCAACATACTCACCATTCTACAGAGCTCAGTGTCAGGGTGGTCCAGGTAATTCAGAAACTATGTAAGTTGGAAGTGTGCAAGGATTTAGAGGACAAAGCGATCACTGTGAGAGGATATGTATTGCTGAATCATCACAGGAATAATGGCACTCAATAACATGGCAAGTCTAAATCATGTTGACACTAAATGAGCAGAGACCCTCAAGTGTCCATCAATTCTTTAAGCTTATGATGAAAAGACATTCTAATAGATGGTGCTTAGATGTAGACTTGTGTGCTTACACGTAAACGGGTCTCTGAGTGTTGTCTACCTACCACACACACTCATGCATATATACTGGCACAAACAGGAAGGCTACAAGACCAGGGTCCAGTCATGGTCCAATCAGTCGGGTAGGATTGTAGGTGTTTCTTCTGCCTTTCTACTCATCTGTATATTGCTATTTTTCTACTATAAATCTGCAACATTTGCCCAGTAAAAAGTAAATTAATAAACGCATTTAAAATGAATTTTGAAAACTCCCTGATACAGCATCAGCATATTATGAGGCACAAGGACAGGATACTCATGAAGCAATACCCAGGTCCATAATAAAGGCAAAAATATGCAAGTATTTCTGAGGCAGAAATGCCCACAGAGAGGGTAAATGTGTTCTAAGATATGAGACTATGCGTTTTGAGTACTGGGGGGGGGGGGGGGGGGGGAAGGATGGCATTTTATTCCTTTCGTTTTTAAATTATGCTGTTAAGGGATATACATTTTTTAAATAATGTTATTTTCCTTTTACCTGTTTTCTCTCTTTAGGATTGAGAAGTAAGTACCGAGGATCAAAAACTATCTTGTGCAACTCCTTCTCCCACGTTGAAAAAGCAGACACCTTTAAAATAAAAATGTATTGCCTCATAATTAAGTTGGCTCTAAAAACATAAAGGTCATATAATTTTCCTTGAAATCTACAGGACATCTGCTTAAAAAGGAGGCATAATAAAAACCATACTGAAGTTTCCATCACTAATAAATGACAAGCAGTGGGAGGCTAGCAACGGCAAATTTCCACACTAATTGGCTCTGAACATTTCTGTATTATATAGAAATAACACACACCTAATTACTCATTAAAATAACCACTACTGTGTGACATTTTAAAAATCAGTACATCAGAAAAAGCCTTGAAGATTTGCATTTTGATTTCCCATGCTTGCTCCAATCTTGTGAACAATGTTGCAATTTTAAACTGAACAGTTAAACTTATTCAAATGAATCTGTGAACATAACCAAAACGTCAAAACCCCTCTCAATTAAGCTCTATTAATAATATCATAAAGTACCAGTTCTCCTTTAACCAAAAGCCATTCTGAAAGTATTAAAAGAAAAATTACATATACCTTACCTATCCCATGTCGTCCACCACTCTGTAATGTTAATACTCTGTTAATACTCATCTTATATTACTCACCAAAATTTAATGACCCAACGAATGTTGGGTCAACATTTGACCCAACAAATAACATTAAATGTTATTTGTATTTAAAAGGACAGTAAAAAGGCATTTAGTCAAACACGATATGATGAGCCAAGAAAAAGGCTGCTTGAGAGAGTACAGTAATTTGATAGGCTTCCCTTACCTCCCCCCCCAAACATGAGCACTAACCTTAGATTTGACCTTTTAGCAAGACATATTTATATTACTTATACAAAACAGAAATATCTCCCCCAAAGATTGTTTTCTGACCCCTCTCTCTAGCAGCATGTCCTTGAACTGCTTCATTCGGGCCTCCAGAGGGACAATGGCCCTTTCTCGGGCAGCTTTAATTTCAGCTTCCATGGCAGCTTCTTTCTCTGAATCAATGTCTTTATTATCGTCTCTCCTATAAAAAATAAAATATAAGGCATCAACTGACAAAATATTAACAAGGAATCTTACTAAAATCTTTAAATCAATGGAATATTCAAGACTCACTACTGAGCAGCATATTTTTGGCAAAAAAAAAATTATATTGAGGGTTTCAAATGAACTCTAAGGGATAGGCAACTTTCATTATAATAAAGTTACATGAGCTTCTAATGATGTTACAATGGCTATATTGTGCTCTCTGTCTGATACACAAAATGAACTACCTTACTTTCAAAAACAAACAAAAAAAAACTAACATTGCAATAAAACTCTATGTGTTAGAAACAAGCAGCACAAAACATAATTTTTAGTTCTTGAAATGATATAGGAAAAATAGTATTTTCCAGAATGTTTTACATTATAGATCCGTAAAATATTTTTATCTAATAAAAACTGGTATAAGTCTTAGTAATCTCAAATATTTATTTTGAAAATAAAATGCAAATATCTGCAAACTTGGCCAAGTGGTTATGTGAGATATATACCTTACCTACCTGACATCTTTTTTACTCACTTTCTGGGTGGTAACTTGAGATTTAAGTTGAAGGACAGGTCCCAGAGAGCAACATAGGCCCAGGAGTAGTTAGATGGAATTAGAACTGTTCATCAATGACTAAACTACTTCTTTTTCCTCCAAAAATGCACCTCAGGGCTAAGGACAACCCTGTTGCTGTATGGTACTCGAGTGAGATTGTAAACATGAAATTGAGTCACCTCTCAAACATCTGCACTATGAAGAAGGCCCATTCATATGAATAATCCAAAAGAGAAAGTAATTCAATAATATTTGGGTGTGTCTGAGCAGATCTTCCTCCTTAAATATGATCTGCTAAGTATCAAAATAAAATTGGTTCATACTCCCTACACAAACTTAAGGGAATTGGGAAAAACAAAACATCACAAATTTCAAAAGCATGCTATATAGGGAAGTGAAGGTAGCCCAAGAGATTTAAATGGCTAACCCGCAAATATGGTTAAGTGAGAGGTAATTAGCAATTTAGGGAATGAATCAAAAGAAATAGAAGTCATAGTCCGTGACCTGCAGGAACTTAGCGAGATAGTCTGTGACCTAAGATATGCACAAAACAAACAGGTAAAAGTAATTTGCCAAACAATATACCCTCTTATAATAATTTATTTAAGAACTATTTAAATAAAGAATTAAAAGACATCCAAGAAATATAACTAATGAAAACAAATAACCTTTACAGAATTATACTAAATAAAAATGTCACAATACAAACTATCACTATCTATCTCAATAAAAGAAAGAAAGAAAAACTAAGCCAGGAAAAATAGGCTTTTAACTTTGTACCTAAATAGAGAAGCTCGGGCAATCCACATAAAGGACTTCTTTGACATTCTCCTGATAAAAGCAGTTAAAAACCTTACAGAGTTGTCTATAAGAACAAACAATTAAAAACAACCTAAAAGTTTAACATTGTAGGAACATCCAAAATTATGGTTACATAAACAGAATGAATACAGTCATTTATAATAATTAAGAAAACAAATGTCTTATTCTAATTTTTTTTTTTTAAAGCACACAAAGTCAGTTGATTACAACTAATAAAAGTATTTACATATTTGGTCAAGAACTAAAAAGTCAACTGCAAAAATGAAAATAGCTGTGTTACTTTGGTTGATTATGAGTGACTCTCTTTAACATCTTAATGTCTTTAATATTGTCACTAATGATTTTTTAAAAAGAACCACCCTTCCGAGGGTTTGTCTCACTGATTTCCTTGCCATAATTTGGCTGCATTCAATCTGTCCTTTTCGGATAAGGACTATGGATCATCCAGTTCCTAATAATGTCTTCAAACTTTCCGTTTTGCTGCTAAATAATGGTCCCATTCCTCCCCCTCCTCCCGCCACAGCCAAATACCATCTACCCCCCACCTATGATCCCCCTTAATTAGTAACATTCCTATTTCACCCAACTACAGAGCACTGGCCAATCTAATGCTCCCACTTATGGCAGTCTCTTTCTCTCAAAGCTCGTTCTAAGCTCACAGGTTCCCTCTACACCAGGTATTAATAACCACAGACTCAAGGAAGAGCTAGGTGACAAGTATATAAAAAAAAGAGGGAAGTCTGTGTATCTATAACTATGAACTTTCTGAAATGGTGTCTGTTAGGGTCTACACTAAAGGAGGAAGTTCATTTTTTATAAAATTCCAGCTTAATGAATATCTGAAAATAATTTATCAACTAATTCCTAAAATGTCACTTGGCTTCATAATATACACTTAAATAATCAAATATTCTGCAAATCTAGCAACAGTAAGGACACCATTTCTACACTCTAAAGCAAAGCTTTCTAATATCAGGCCTTAGAGAGCAATCATGACTTCGGTCTCCTAACAACATACATATTAGTTGTCACATCCACAAACTGACTGTGACTTAATTAATAGCTATAATCTGCCTGAATTACATAAACTCTAAGTATTACTTACTTCCGTTTTTTGGCTTTAACAGGTTCATCTTCATTAAGTTCTTCCATTAATTCCTGTTCTTCTTTAACTGTAAGATCAAATTTAATTAAACCTTGTCAGAATATAAAAATAAGCAAGCAACAATTGAAATACTTAAGTACTCATCCTTCTGCTACCCACTACCAGAACACTTGCTTTAATAGTATGAAAAAGTAGGTACAATTTATAGTTCACTCACTTGCACTCATAGAGAATTGCCATTTTTGGATGGACAGCATTGTCGGGGTCGGGTGCCCTGGCAAAAACGTATCAGTTATTATTATGAAGTTACATGCACATATTACATATTCTTTTAAAAAGTCACCGTTTCCATAACGTATCCATCCCATAATATTCTCTCCTCTATAAAACATTAAACAAAACACAATTCTATACTTCTTAAATTAATCTTCCCTTTATATTAAATTTCTAATTCACTTTGAAATGTTTATTCATGACACATGGGAAAAACTAATGCCTAGTGTCTCTAGCAACAGACAGGGAAAGTTTCACTGATTTGAAAGTGACTCCTAAGCAAAAAATGTAGCACCAAATACACACAATCCATGAAGACTTCTCAATTATTATAAATGACATAGATGAGAATTTATTTCATTGGAAGTATTAGTGATTCATTTATGCTTCTATATTTGATGAAGGGGGGCTCTATAAAAACAATCCTATCAAAATGAAGGCAAATTACCAATAAAAAATATGCAATCAAAATTATGTATAAATATTGGTGTTCATTATATACATTGAAATGCTGCCTGAACATGAGGTACCTTAAAAGATAATCTCTTAAAAAGGTTTGTCTTTATATTGTCAGAAATAAGGCTTGCCTTCCCTAAGTTTCAATTACTTTAAAAGACTAAACTTTGGGGTGCCTGGGTGGTTTAAGTCAGTTAAGCGTCTGACTCTTGATCTCAGCTCAGTCCTGATCTCTTGGCCAATATGGAGCACCACGTCGACCTGCTTAAGATTTTCTCTCCCTCTACCTCTACCCTGACCCTGTTCGCTTGCTCTCTCTCCAAATAAGTAAACAAATAAACAAAAGACTAAGCTTTCATAGTTTACCAAATCTTGTACTTTACAAAAGTTTAATAACCAGTATTTTAAAAATACTCTGTACAATTTTATTTCAAAAAATATTACTAGTTACAAAAGGTGCTAAAAGAACACTGAGAAATGTTTTAGTATTATTAATAAGCAAATAGCAAACCTTAGCAAAGCCAACATTATCTTGGACTAAAAATCATGATGAGGCAATTAAAAAAACACACATATAAATATCTTACAAAAAAAAACTGTCCAAATTCTCTATTTTTTTTAAATAACTCTGTTATTGAACTCAAACTAGCATCGTGGACTATTTCCCATTTCTCAAATTTGTTATATTCCTTGAAAACAGCAAGCTTTCCTAAATGGCCTCATATTTTCTATAAAAATATTAAAAGAATGTTAAAATTAGAGGACAAATTCCTAATTGAAAACTTACTTAGTTTCTTTACTTCTTCCATTCCTTTTTTATGAGGTGGCTCCTGAATAATTTTGTCAACATCCGCCCTTCCAATCAGATCATCAGGTCGGTCCCACATAGAGAGACGGGTGGTAGGATTATAAAAGAAGACCCGCTCATCACCAGTCCAAACAACACACCTACGAATTGATTCAAATATCAGTTTCTCAGGTTATGGAACATATTTGAGAGATAGGTCTCTTACTGTCATCCTGCTAAAGGAGAGGTGGTGGTGGTGGTGGGGACACCTCCAGACAGCAGGAGTTAGCCAAACATGACTTTTAAAGGAGAGAGCTGATTGGCAAAGGTTAAGAACAGCAGCTCAACACACTAGTGGATAAAACCAGGAAAAGCAAAGTAATTCATATAATTAGTAACTTGGTCTGGCTCACTCAATCTGAGAGTGCTGCATTTTTACCTACCACAAAAGATGAGTTCAATGGCAACAAACAAGAATGCTATCAAGCAGTTCTAAAGCTAAAGAACAGACCACAGCACAGTATCTATTACATAGTTCTTCTATATATTTCTTACCAAATCAGAATTTTACATACTCAAATGCAACCTGCTATGAAATCTTTAATATCTCATTATATCTAATACAAAAAATAAGAAAGTACTGACTGCACTATGACACCATAGCCCATTACAGTTCACTGTTCCTATTATAACAAGAAATTCAGACAAAATAGAAAAAATAAGAACATAAGGGCTCTGTACAGTTTTTAAAAAATAAATATTTAAGTTTGGAAGAGAGTCAATGTTTACAGCAGCAACTGCAAGGGTGTAAATTTCCCACTTTTCCTCCCTGAAATCTCTGCCCCGAGAGCCCCGAGTCACACAGTAGCGTGGTCAGAGCGGCAAAGACAGCAAAACTTCCAGTAGAAACCAGGTCGCTATGGTCAGATAATTAAAAGTTCATCAACAGCTGCCAAGCCAAGTTAATCCAGATGTTGAAATTATCAGACAAAACCTCTATTGCTGAAATAATCAAAGACTTTCAAGAAGCAATTATAACTGGAGTTCATGAGATGAAGAAAAAACCTGAATGAAAACATGGTTCTCATTACTGAAACAGAAACTGTAAAAAAAAAAAAAAAACCCAAAAATTATAGAGACAGAAAATACAGAAATGAAGCAAAGGAAAAAGACAAGCCAAGAAACTTAGTCTTATACCACAGAGAACAAACTGCTGGTTACCAGGGACACGGTGGGTGGGGAGAAAGGTGAAACAGGAGATAGAGATAAAGGAGTGCACCTGTGATGAGCACTGGTGTGGTATACGAGTGCTGAAGCCACTACTTTGTACACCTGAAACTAATAGAACACTGCAGGCTAACTATACTGGAATTAAAATAAAACGAAAAAAAGAAAAATACACAATTGAAATTCAATTTCTCTAGCATAGAGATGAGAGGAAATGATCAGTGAACTAGAAAGTAGATCAGTAATTATCCCACCAGAAGAACAAAGGCAGTAAAAAGAATCAACAGAGATTCAGGAACTAAAGTGACTATGTCAAAATGCCTTACGTAAACGTCACTGGGATCCCAGAAGGAAAGGATATTGGGGCAGAAAAAAATTTTGAAGACACAATGCCCCCCCCCAAAAAAGTCCAAATTTGGTAAAAGATACAAATATTAAAGAAGCTCAGCGAACCCCAAGCAGGATAAACTTCATGAAAACCATACTTAGAAACAACATAATCAACCTGGTGAAAATCAAAAATAAAGAAAAATCCTTGCTAGTTGCTAGTAGCTAAGAAAAACTATGGCACACTACAAACAGGGGAACAAGTCCAATGACCGTGGATTTCTTACCAGATATCCTAGAGACAAGAATACAGTAAAACAACATCCTTAAAGTGCTGGGGTGGAGGGAAAAAACACTGCCAACCCAGAATTCCCTATACAACATAAACATCCTTTGGGAACAAGGGCAAGAAAAGATATTCCCAGATGAATAAAAAATAAAGAGACTTCATCTCCAGCTGACTACTAATGAGCATGGGGATTTTTTTTGGGGGGGGGGGGAATAATGAAAATGTTCTAAATTGAATATGGTGATGAATGCACAATTCTGTGAATATATTTAAAATCAATGAGTTGTGCACTTTAAATGAGGGATGTGATTTATCTCAATATAGTTATATTTTTAAGAAATAGCTAGACAAAAAAAGTATATGCTACAGAATTCTCGACACGATATTCTATAAAATACAAAGTAATCTAAAATAACAGAAAGCAGAGGGACACTTAAGGATGGGATTAGAGGGAGGGATGGACTACAAAGGGATACAAGGAAACTTTCGGGATTACTAGAAATGTTTATTTTGATTGTGGGAATGAACTTGAACTATTTCAGCTCATCGTACTTCGATGATTGTACTTAACACACATAAAAATGAGAAATGTAACTTTTGATTTTGGGGTTTAAGTTTGAGTCCCAAGTTGTGTAAAGAGATTACTTAAAAATAAAATCTTTTTTAAAAAACTGACAAAATGTGTAATGTACTACCAAACCAAAATCTTTTGTGGAAATGGACTAGATACGTTTTGTCATGGAATCCAACAAAAAAAGCAAGGCTCACTGATCCTAGGGAATACAAAATGCTTCCACTTCTGATCTCTCCTTACAATTAATTTTATTTTTTTTTTATTTTTTATTTATTTATTTTTTTTAACGTTTATTTATTTTTGAGACAGAGAGAGACAGAGCATGAACGGGGGAGGGTCAGAGAGAGGGAGACACAATCTGAAACAGGCTTCAGGCTCCGAGCTGTCAGCACAGAGCCCGACGCGGGGCTTGAACTCACAGACCGTGAGATCATGACCTGAGCCGAAGTTGGCCGTTCAACCGACTGAGCCACCCAGGCGCCCCTACAATTAATTTTAAAAGCATAGGGGAAGATAAGTGTTATTATGTTCCATTAGACTAACCCTGAAAGGGGCACCTGGCTGGCTCTGTAGGGGGAGTTTGTGACTCCTGATTCTCAGGGTTGTGAGTTCAGGTCCTGTGATGGGTGTAGACATTATTTAAAAATAAAATCTTTAAAAAATAATTTTTTTTAAAGAATAATCCTGAGATACTTAAGCCATCTTGTTAGATGTTTAACTTTACTGGGGAAAAAACCTATCCTAAATTTTCTATGCCAGTTTCTAAAACACTATTTAACTGATATAAACAGTAGTAACTACTTTAAGACAGAGATTCTATTTTACTAATTGATGTTGGTTTCAAAATACCAAAGTGTGCCAATATAGCTCCAATATAGCTCCAACAGTACTAGCGGTAAATGTGCAGTGACGTTTCAGAATTAACAGGGGAAATAATGGACAAAGAACTGTGTCAAAAAACTGCCCTGTGCTAACAATATGAAAGATAAAATGTTTAATGGTGAGGTATACTACTATCTGCAACTTTTAACTCATGAAAAAAATAAGAATGGTTGGAGATGCATTGAGGGATGAAGCAGACACGATAAAATGTCAGCTGTAAAAGTTAGGTGGTCAATATTTGGTGCTCGCTGTTCTAGAAACATTCAATGTTTCTCTCTGTTTCAACTTTTTCATAATAAAATCCCACCGTAAAAAAAGCTCTGGAAACAGCAACAACAAAAAACTTACAGAAACACAACAGCAAGCTAATTAATTAGTAGACCTGTGCCACTCTTCAGTATATGCAGAAGAGAGTCAAAATTAAAAGATAAATTTTCCTAAGTTAAAACGCAACATGCACTACAACACAGATAAAGCATGGCAAATACAGGCAGCCCTCACTCTGCACTTTGTGGGACACTGTAAAAATAACTGCAAGTTAAATCTGTATGATGCAATCTTAGTAAGCAATGGAAAAAATTAGTTAGTCCATGACCTTTAAAAACTTTTGTTGAAACATTAAAAATTCTCTTAGAACCAGAAACTAAAATTTACTGATCCTAAGGAATACAAAATACTAAATTTGACCTCTCTTACTTTAAAAGAAATAAACTAATGCTGTGAAATACCAGGGGAAAAAAATCCCAACATAAGTAAGGGAAATATGAAACTTCATGTTTTACATTTAGCTTAACTCTAAAAAACAGTTCTTCGAAGAGCAACATCTGAAGATACCAAGAGATAGGCAAATTTGATTATCCAAATGAAGTGGCATATTCTGCTCAGCTGAGTAATTTGTTTTTTCTTTTTTTAAGATTTTTAAATTTTTAAGTGTTCTCTAGACCCAGCCTGGGGCTTGAACTTACAACCTAAGATCACAGACCAACTGAGCCAGCCAGGCACCCCGTGAGTAATTTGTTTTGCTTAAAGTTAGCACTTACCCATTTTATAAGAAATAGAAAATAATTAATTAAGGAATTAAAGTTCTACTGACAATACATTCTTTCACTGACAAAACTTGGAAAATCATCTGGACAAGCAGGTATCCTTCATGTATTCAGATAGACTATAAAAGCACTAGGAACACATAGCTGCATATGGGGAGGTAGACTTCCTAAGAAAGACCTAGAAGCTGTAAACAGAAGATCAATAAATTTCATTTCATCAAAATATAAAATTTATGTATGAGAAGACAGCAAAACAAAAATGAACAAATAGGGAGAAGATGTAATGTATGTAAAAGTCAAAGGCGTTAAGAGCATACATTAAGAAGCTCTCTCCTATCATTAAGAAAAAGACAAATCCACAAAAAAGAGGAGGAAAACTGTGAAGAAGCTATCGACAGCCAATGAACGTGAAATAAACTCAATTACACCATGTATTCTGGAAACATCCAATAGGACTCCTTTTCTTAAAAGGTTACCAAAGATTAAATAGACTATCCCTACACTGGTGTGAGGGAGAGAACACTGGTAGGCTATTGCAGGGAATATTAACTGGCACAGTCCAGCCTGTCCCCCCAAAAAGCCTTTCTGAGGTCAACTTAGCAGTATCTACCAAACTATTAAAGAGGAGTATCACTTGATTCAGCAACTTCACTTCTAGAAATCAATCCCAACAGAAATACTTGCAAGTGTTCACAAAGAGATATGTGTAAGGATATTCTGAATGTCAATTTTTGTAATGCTGCAGGGGTGGGGGAGGGAAGACAAACTAATCACCCATTTATAAAAAAAATTATACATTTATGGAAAATTATGCTATCACAAATATATTTGTACAAAAACAGCAAAATTTCTGGGACATATTTAGTAAAAAAAACATGGAAAATATATTGTTTTTAAGACACTATAATATGCATGCACACCACACATAAAACTCTATACACATGTATACAAACAACATAGCAAAGGGTCCAGAAATTGTATGAAATCAAATTTTTATTAATGAGAAGGCTTGGTGAAGGTGGAATTCTGTAATTTTTTACTTCCTGTAATTCGTTCATATTGTATGTTTTTACAGATTCACATATTCTTTTCTAATATATGAGACTGACGAGAAAATTACTCAAAGCAGGACACAAAAACTATAGATATAAAACAGAGAAAAAGAGGTTTAGAGGATAATAAATACAAGAGACCTGACATGCAGATAACATGTTCCAGAAAAGGAAAAAAACAGGTAAAAAGAAGCAATAATGAAACAAACTCCAAAAGACAATTTCACTCATCTGGAGAGAAACCCAAACTTGAAAACTGATGAGGCCCACAAAGCTTCAGCCTGGTGCGGTTTGAAGTTGGTTAGCTTTTCATGTACAATACTCAAACTCAGAAACCACAACCTAGGAATATATTCGTTGAATAGACTCTTTCCATAACTTTGATTATGGATCCATGGCAGATATTTTGCATAATTATTTTTAAAAATGAGGGTGTGTATCACATTGGTAAAGTGAAATATACAGAAAACAATTATTCCAAATGCCTTTAAAACACAGTGATTTGACTACACATCCCTGGAGGGACATATCCTGAACATAAAAATAACGGGGAGAAAAAAAAGCCTGAACGATCTTCAGTATCGCACTGTTAATGACAGTGTCAGTACTGTTATTGTGTGACCTGTTGTGTGAGCAAAGCAAATGAGGGGCACCTGGGTGGCTGAGTCAGTTAAGCATCTGACTCTTGATTTCAGCTCAGGTCATGATCTTAGGGATCCTGAGATCAAGCCCCATGCTGGGCTCTGGCTGGACAGCACGGAGCCTGCTTGGGATTCTTTCTCTCCTCCTTTCCCTGCCCCTTCCCCGCTCACTGAGGCCCACAAGCTCCCTCTCTTTCTCTTTCAAAATACATAAATATTCAAAACAAACAAAACAACAAAAAGAAGAGAAGTAAATTATGTCACTATTACTCAGAAACAGGATATTCAGCAGAAAAGGGGATACTGAATTAAAACAGATGATGAGATTCAGTAAAAATCTTGTACTAAACCTGAACTGCAAGTAATGATATGAACTAATGATGTATCTTTAAATGTGTGCATGTTCAGTCTGTGTCTCCCAAAGAGACTTAATAATGACTTATTCAGTAATAACACCTATCCCTAGATCCTATAAATGCCACTTCCCACAAAAGGAAACCAGGCTCCACAGCAAAATGGCCGAATCTAGGTCTGAGACACGAAATACATGAGGAAAGCCAGGAACATATTTGCCAAACACAAAGTAAGGAAGGTATCAAAAACAGGGTTGTAACAAAAAACCCTGGAGTCAACCTTAAGAGGTTTCACCCAGCCAAAGATGAAACAACTGAAATTCAATAAGGATATTAACTGTAATGGATAGAAGCATATAAAATATATTGAGGGGCGCCTGGGTGGCTCAGTCAGTTAAGTATCTGACTCTTGGTTTCAGCTTGGGTCATGATCTCACAGCTTGTGAGATCAAGCCCCACATCAGGCTCTGCACTGACAATGCAGAGCCTGTTTGTGATTCTCTCTCTCTCTCCCTCTCTCTGCCCCTCCCAAGCACACGCCTCTCTCTCAAAATAACCTTTAAAAAAATATATATATTTAAATGTATGAATTTACAATACTCAAACCAACTCATTATTCTGAAAACTTCAGCACTATTGACATTTGGGGCCAAATAATTAACTCTTGTAGGGAGCTGTCCTGCACATGGTAGGACATTTAGGAGTATCACATCCCTGCCCTCTAACGACTAGATGCTATACACTATTAACACCTCCCAAGTCATGACAACCAAAAAACATCCCCAGACACTGCCAAACATCCCCTTATGAACTATTCTTGCCAACAAGATCAAATCTGAATCTGATCGTTTCTTCTGTATCTACTTGATAGTTTGCAGGAAAATCAGGAACAGAAGACTCAAAGAGTACCATCAGGATGCAACAATAAAATCCAGACTGTGAGTCTCCATATAACAAATATATTTATCTTTTAAATGACAAAAATGAGAAAGAAAAAGCAATGAAGATACAATGGAGGGGAACCTATAGATTACAAGACTTAAGAAACAATTCACTACAACATGTGGACTGTATATGGATTACATAGGCTGGAGCAGGAACAGGAGAGAGAGCATTGATGCAGGTAGAAGAAGGGCAAACCAAACAAAAGAAGGAAAGAAAAGTCTACCATTCAACTCTTCAATTAGAAGTCAACTTTATACAGTTCTATAAATGTAATCATGTATGTGGGTATACACACAAAATCAATTTACAAGTATTTTAAACAATAAAAAGTAGATTCAGAATCTCACAGTGGCTCAAGTCTGTAACTATGTATGATAAACATTAATGAACAGTACCATGAAAGGAGGAAGACAATGTAGCAAATGAGTTTTAGGTTTGAACACCAAAATATTCATTAGATAAAAACATCTACTTGACATGTTTGTTTTTTAAAGCATCTTTTCTTTCTAGATGATAAAGTATGTAACAATCAAATATGGTAATTAAGAAAAAAATAATTAAATGGGGTGCCTGGGTGACTTAGTTGGTTAAGCGACCGACTTCTGCTCAGGTCATGATCTCACAGTTTGTGAGTCTGAGCCCGCGTCAGACTCTGTGCTGACACCTCGGAGCCTGGAGCCTGCTTTGGATTCTGTGTCTCCCCCTCTCTCTGCCGCTCCCCTGCTCATGCTCTGTCTGTCTGTCTGTCTGTCTGTCTGTCTCTCTCTCTCAATAATAAATAAACGTTAAAAAAAAATTTTTTTTTAATTAATAAAAAAAAAGAAAGAAAGAAAAAATAATTAAATAAAGTAACTTACTAAAGTAAGCCAAGTACATACCACGGAGTACCAGGAATAGGGGTAGTAGCTACTGGCTTTGCCTTCTGGGCAGCCTTTTCTTCTTCGGTCATCTCCTCTTCTTTGGGCTCCTATAGGAAATGATGTTACTCCCATTTATTTAGTATCACAAAACTATACTGAATTACTACACAATACAAGTAACACTGCAAACACCTCAAAGTGCAACCAACATAAAATTGGTTAGTAGCACATGGAGTACAGACTCTGAGTAAGAATTTCTAAGAAAGTTCTAACTCCTTGCTCCCTAGACAGAGCGCATTCTACAACAGCAGATGCCAGCAACAGCAGATGGTTCTATCTTACAAACTCACTGACCATCTGCTTAGGAGCAGAAATGGAGAACACAGTATAGAAAATTAGAGAAGACCTCTTCATTTAAGGTTATGTCTTTCTTCTCCTAACTTCCTTACTAATAAACATGACTACCTCTGGTCCCTGACCGAATATAGGAAGCTTTGAAAAAGCAGAGCTCTTTCAGTACTGTATAGAGATCATTCCATGCCAGAAGACAGATAAAATATAACATTCCCCAAATGTAAAACTGTACTTATAATTTTACCATGTACCAGTCTATAAATAATCAGGAGGCTAGAGACTGGGTCCATGCTCTGGTCCAAGGCCCTTTCTTTCTAGGGGCCGTGGTTTATTATAAGAAGTAATTTAACACAATTTTCAAAGGAAAAACTATATGACAAACTTCAAAGAACCCTAAAATTTCAGAAATAAGATTATAACAATTAAGTGAAACTGTATCAGATACGTTTTCAAATTACAAGTAAATTGTACCCAACAATTAATTCTGGCTCCCAGGTTAACAGGTCGTGGCCCTTTACCTCCTTTATCTCCTTTATTGGCTCTTCCTTAGGGTCTTCCTCCTCCGTCTCCATTGGCAGAGGTTCTTCAGAAGGTTCTTTAATTGGCTCTTTAATCTTCTCCTCTAATTTTTCTATTACAAAGTTAAGACAATGTCACTTGTTGGTTTTTGGTGTAACTTTCCAAGAACTTTCAGAGACTAAGCAGGTAAGATATTCAGAACTAGGGGCACCTGGGTGGCTCAGTCGGTTAAGCAACTGACTTCATCTCAGGTCATGATCTCACGATTTGTGGGTTCGAGCCCCACATCGGGCTCTGTGCTGACAGCTCAGAGCCTGGAGCCTGCTTCGGATTCTGTGTCTCCCTCTCTCTGCCCCTCCCCCACTTGTGTTCTTGTCTCTCTCTCTCTCTCTCTCAAAAATAAATATAAAATGTTAAAAAATTAAAAAAAAAAAGGATATTCAGAACTAGAAGTTATTAACCACAAAGATGAAATGTTCTTCTCTGTATCATCATCAATTTCAACCTAAAGCACTGGTAAACTTCAAACTCCTCACTATACCATGAGAAAACTGTCACTCAAAAAGAACCACTCATTTCAGAGAGATATGAAGTCTTTCAAGTCATTCACGTATCATTTGTAGCAATGAGTCACTCTGTTGAAAGGGATGAGATACTAAGATACTTAGAAACAGGAACTGGTGGTAAGAAAATTTTGAGTCTTCTTCATCCAAGACTTCAAGGGCCTCCTGTTTTCTTCAGGACACATACAATATACATATTTCCATATACTACCAATGTCAGTAATTACACAACGGAATAATTATGTAATTCCTGACAACAGAAAAAAAAAAAATCTATGTGTGTGTATGTATGTGTAATTTAAGATGGATGGAAAAATCACAAACATGGAAGTGGAACTGGCTTTTTAAATAAATACATGCTTATGAATTCGGTAAAAATAAAGAATCCAACAACTACAGAATTAGCAAATCCTGCAAATGTGCTAAAAAGGAAGTAACTCAGAATTTCAAACAGCACTCTATTAATAGCATCCCAGTTTTTACTACGTCTCAACAAGTCATGAAAACTATACCTTTTTCCTTTAGTTCTTGGGGTTTTTCCCAGGTTGATTCTAATGTTCTATTATTATAATAGTATGTCTTTCCATCGGCTGTTTTATATTCAGTCCACTCAGAAACTGCTGTTGCTCCAGCTAAGGTAGCAGGTGAAGCCGCAATAGCAACCTGGGGATGGATCATAGGTACGATAGGAGGGGCCATTCCTGGCAATACACCTAAAAGAAGAAGCAGCAGCAGTTAGGTCCAAGCATCAAACTGCAATGCAAAATAAAACTCTAAGATACGAGCTAAATCTTTCTATTAAATATTAATAAATGAATGAGCAAGCTGGAACAAAAACAAATCATATAAAACGTGAATCACTTAATGCTATTTCCCTGTTCAGTTCTGAAGTCTAAATTCAGTTAGATTCAGAAAATCAACTCAAGAAGTAACTTAAGAACAGTCAAAAATTCGGGTCACATTTAAGATGAAGTCTTAACCATAAACTATAAAAATCATGACACATTCTCTACATGTGACTAGAAATGTATTTTTATAAAGGATTTCTCAAATTGTAATGAAATCAAGGTAACAAGCATATCTCCTGAGCATATTTCCTGAAGCAAAATTATTTCCTAGTTCTAAGGTACCTAGAAGGGTACGAATAAAATTCTCAGTTTTAAAGTAAAAGACTGAGTTCATTATCAAATCTACTTCAACAGATAAGTGATTAAGTCCAATGTCCTTTTTAAGTGTTTTGTCAGTTTAGTCTTTTCCTTAAAAAAGGTCATTTCTTCTATTTTTTTAAAAGATAAGCCAAGGTTAATATTCTTTTACAATACAGCTAAACAAGCTGATATTACACAAATAATTAAGGATATAGGAATCCAAATTGAACAAAAACCCTCAAAGCCTCTTCTAGGATTTAAGTTCCAGGCAGCTATCTTCAATAACTTTACAATGTAAATTTATACTACACACACAAATATTCACACACATATACTCACTAGCATGCAAGCATAATCACATCACTTTACACATGGAAATGATTTTTTTATATTTAACTTAAAAACACAGATCAAAATAACAAAATTAAATGTTATGAGTATGAGAATGAAGTTGTTTACACTTATTACAAAAATTAAGATATAAAGTGATCTGACCTTATTTGCTTTTGTGAACCAAAGAAGCTAATACTACAGGCAATCGGGAAAATTAAGTGTTGGCCAAATATGACAACTGCATTTATACTGCTCATTAAAAAGAAAAATATAAAAAAATCCACTCACTTGGGCAAAAGTAAATAAATAAAAAGGATAAACAACAACATTCACTACCATGCCAACTTACAGACAAAACAAACTAAGATGGTTTTAAAAATTACCGGTCTTGGTGGTAGCGACTGTCTTTACATACGGGCAGCTGACTATTTGCATCATTGCTACACCTGTAAAATGGATAAGCAAGCATACGTTGGAAAGCTGCCATGGTATGTCGGCTACCACTGGGATTCAGGGAAATAATTGACCACTACAATTTAGGATGCTATTTCCAATGAAAAAGACCAAGAATGGAGTAAAATTTCTTTGTGTGTGACATTTTGTGGGAAGTAGTGCCAAATCTAAGGATAACTAATTCTAAATTATAGCATCAATTACCTTTTTATCAAACCAGCTCTGACAATATTTGAAGGAGTCTCAAGAGTTTAAATTCAATGAAGGAAGCCCCTTCATTATACAGACGTAACAAGTTCTCACGTGGGACATTCCCCCACAGGACATCAAACCCATGCTGCTGTTGCTTAGATACCAGTGAAAGGCAGATGCAGCATGACACTGACAAGACACTTTCTCTGTGCTGCTAAGTGGGAACTACATGCAGAAGCTGAGGCACGGAGCGTAACCATGCAGAAGTAGAACAAGAGTAAGATAGGACAAAGAGGGGTGCGAGAGAAAGGAAGACAGTAAGGTATGAGATGGATTCAAATATTCCACTGCAAATAACATTTTAAATAAATGGGCATAGATGAAGAGAAGGGTAGCATTCAGCTAATGACAAAATATCCATGTTTACTGCCTGCTCTGGGGAACGTCACAGGCTTGAAACAATGTTGAAGCAGGCTAAATGTAAACATAAAGAGAGCCCCTTTAGTATCATTAATGACTACATGGGCTGATTGCTTCAGAAACCTCTATTATTTAAGCCAACTAAAGGAGTAGCACTTGTATTAAAGAATGGAAATTACGTACAGTTCTTAGAAGAATGAAGACTCATCATGATGCATTACAATGGTGATAAAAAGGGAATGAAAGGGAAAGCTGGAAAACTAAGACTGATTAATTGAAGAAATCCAAAATGAAGTGTGAATTTAAAAAATTTTTTAAAAGAAAAGGCCAAAGGCAGGAGGAAAGGGGGTTCAGGGATTGAATTATAATTTCTATTTGTTTTGGCTGAAAAAACTAAACCTAGTTTGGTACCAATAAAAATTCAAAATAATATACTATTTGCCCCACTAAAGTACAGGAAAAGAAATTTCTCTTAACTTAGAGGTGAAAATTGAAATTAAACCCCTGGGTTTGTAAATAATGCACCTAAGTTCACGCACACACACACAAAAATACTGCCAGTTTTCGAAAAATGTCTTTAATTTCTTAATTACTATTTTAAATAAAGAATATTAAAGCTAAACTTTCTATTAACTCTGAAATGAAAACAAAAGCACTGGATCATAAAAGCATGCTGAGTTAAGTTATATGTATAATTTTGTTTTCCCTGATGTTGTAAGAAAGCAATGGAAAAATTCATTTGGTTAAGGAAGTTACAGCACATACTAAGTTTAAATTAGTATAAATACTGCCATCTGCAGGACCACTGAAACTATTAAGCAAGCACTGGAAATTTAATTCTTAGACTATATGAACTTTATTCTCAAAAAATGTTCTCCAAAACCATCCCCCAAAAAGTAATTTTAACTATTCAACTTAAACAGAACAAAACCAAATCTATTCATATTTAGGCCTAACCGCCATTGTTAAACATAAATTGGGCCAACACAAAACTCCTGTATTTGACTAACAACACATAAACCATACTGAAAGGTCATATTATGTTTCTTCTCATGCTAAAAACATAAGATAAACTTCACGTTTTCTTTGAGGGTGATTACATACAAAAGAGTCACAAAATTACCACATATCTAAATGTTTAACCTTCTATTTCAAGGGAACATCTGTTCAATTTTCCTGTAACTTTATCCTCAAACTGTGTTCTACTAGGAAATTAGAATATTCCATTTAGCATTTTGAATAGTTCTGATGTCACTGCCAGTAAGTTTCTTAAATTCCAAATTAAGATTTTATAGTCTTACAAGACGTGCTAGAAGTCTAATCCAATTTACTATCCCCAATTCCAAATCTTATTCCTGTACTTCACCTACAATTCTTCCACTCCTTTCCTTTATCTTGTTTGACGATCCTTTCCTTAATCATTCTCAGTAGACCCATACATTGCTATTACAGATAGAACTTAAAACTCCAAGATAAATTATATCTAAATCTTTCCTGTCACCTTACTGCCAAATTGATAAAAAGAAAAAAAAAAATGATAGAAAAAGAGATCAATCCCATCATATATGAAAGATTTGGGAAGGAAAAAAAAAACAAGTATTCCCTTTCTTTCTTTTTCATTAAAGCACCTTGGAGAACCGAATTAAAAGGGAATAGGAGAGGCACCTGGCTGGCTCTGTCAGTACAGCGTACGACTCTTGATCTTGGGGTGTGAGTTCAAACCTCACATTGGGTGTAGAGATTACTTAAAAATAAAAATAAAATCTTAAAAAAAAAAAAGGGAGAATGAGAAAATGAACATTAGTATCAAAGATGACTTACTATATAAACAAATATTATGATTACTTTCTAGAAGACATTAACTCTCTTTAAAGAATCTTTGGCAACCTGGACAAAATTTTACAGATTATCTAACTCAAGGTCTCTTCCAAATGACCTACAAAATGACATTAGTGGCTGCCATTAACTAAATGCCTGTTACTGCCAAACTTCATAGGTACCACCTCATCTGCTCAAATGGTCACCACCATCTGTTCCAAACTTTAAAGTGGGGGTAAGGGTCAGAGAAGACCATGACATCAAAACAGAGATATAAGTGAAGGGATTTTATTGTAACAAAATTCAACATTCTATAGAAATGAATTTTTGCTACTCTGACCTTTCACCCACTGGTCCTGTTGAGAAACTTCAAAGCAAAACAAAGTCCTTTTAGTAAGCCTCTCAATTACTTCAGCAACATTACTATGCTACCTCTCAATCTCCTCTCTACAGAATTAACAACCCCATGCTCCTTGAGATCATTCAGAATCCAGTATCTGGTCTGAATACTATCCCTGACCAAGACTGTGAGAGGCTATGACCAATGTCAAGCTATTCTCCATGTATCACTTGGTTTTCTACAAAAAGTATATCCAAAGGGTACCCAAAAGCTTGTCTTAAATTTAATTTAGAAAAAGGGTAATCCCTAGTATGAGGAAACTTTCTGGGTTCCCTCTTACTTTCTTTCAAGTGATATGAGTTTCTTAAAACATCACATATTGGGCATTATCTGACACTACATTAACAATGTGCAAAAGGTTTTCCTATAGGGAAAAAAAAACACCACTAATTCTTAGAATTTTGGTTTTTCTTTCTTGCTAAGGTATAAAATCTAAGTGACTGCCTCTTTTCCAAGCAGGCACAAGGAAAAAGACAATTAGAAAAGCAGTTATAATTAAAATATGTGCAAATCTAAGAAACGGATGTAGTACAACTCTCTTCTTACATAAAAACTAGTACAATAAAGTGGCAATAATAGTGGGAGGAATGTGAAAACGGGAGACAAGAGGCCTACATTCTATTCATCTTTGCCACAAACTTCACAGCAAAAACTGTGAACACGAGGTCTCTACGTCAAAAGCTTCCAGTTGTAATACTAGGAGAACAGACATGGATTAAGGGATAAACGTGATTGTCAACAACAAATGCATTCAAATTAGGATGCCCAACACTGTCACTGTTTAATCCCTACAGGGAAAATTCTACTCCACAATCTCACTAGAATTGCTTAAATGTTTACACGGTGCAGGTTATACTTCCCTTCACAACTGTTACAAGGGTTAAGTTCTGGCTTTGCTTTAGATCAATTTCTTATAGTTAGGTGACTAACACTTTCCTCCCAGTAAAACAGTTATTAAGAGCATGGTATTTGGGTCTGGAGCACCCAGCTCAAATCCCAACACCATCACTCATCAGCTATGCATCAAGGGCAAGTAATTTAGCCTGTCTATGTACCTACCTCCTAGGATAATTGCAAAAATTAAACTGAGTTATCACATGTAAAGTGCTTAGAACAGGGCACAGTATAGAAAATCACTCAGTATCAGCTATTAATAACTTGTAATTTCTCAACTTTACAGACTCAGTCCTTTAAAAAAAATTGCATTTGAACATAGTTACAGGAAAAGATGATCATTTTTAATTCATTGAGGCCATTATCCAAAAATGAGTGTAGCTTCAAATGTGGCTCTAATTTTAAGACATGTAAACAACAACAAAAAAAGGACATTTACCAAAACTGAAGAGAAAATATTGCCGTTAGCCATGAATCTTTTAAAAACATTTCAAACAGGTGAGATTCAAGGCAAATTTCAAATGCAACAGACACATGAGAACAAACTAACTGACAATATGAAAACATAGCTAGAAGGACTATTCTCACCCATTCATTTACCTGGAAGCGGAATTGGCATGCCAGGAAGGGGAACACGAAACGGAGGTACCATGACTGGTGGAAAAGCAGGTATTGCTGCTGCTGGCTGAGGTACTGAGTGAGGAACAGCAGGAGGTAACGTCTGGGGGTGCGGCTGGGGAACAGTTTGCACAGGTGTGGCTGTAGGAGCAGGAGTTGAAACACTAACTGTAGGCGTGGCAACTGAAACAGCAGAACTTGGGGTCTGATCTTGTGTTGTGGGTGCTGATAAAAGATAAAACAAAAATATGTATCATTCCTTCATAAACCATTTCACTATATTCATTCATCATTCACTCATTCAGTTAAGTATTTAAGAGCCCATTCCATGCACTGCAAGAAATTTGTAAAAAGGTCTCTGTCTTCAAGAAGCTTGAAGTTAAATGAAATATAAAAATTAACTAAAATACAAAGTGAAATGCGATAAATGTATAGGAGTATAAATCAAGACGCAAAGACCATTTCTAACTGTGAGAGGGTACAGAAAAAATTATATAGTGTGATGATAGGCCTTGAAAGATTAGGATTTCAACAAGGACAATGACAGAGTGGAAGGAGAAAATAAGTAAGTGGTGGGAAAAGTGCGTAAAAAGCCAAGAGGAGGTAGCAAAAGGGAACTGTTTAGAAAATACAAGGCAAGCAGTCAACTAGTAAAACAATAGGCATACCAAAAGAACCAGTGAGTTATGGCTGGAAAGCAGACCAGAGGCATAAAGGAGAAGGCTTTGACAGAAGGCTAAGGAGTCTGCACTTTACTGGGTAAGGAAAGGAAGAAATTATGTAAATGTAGAGAAATGACCTAGAAGAATGCACACCAACATGTATGTACTCATTACATCTGTGCATGCCTTTCACATTTTGCTACATATCCTTCATTAGAGTTTAATTTTTTTATAAGAATGCATTCATGTGTTATTTGCGCGACTTCATGAATGTAAAAGGGGTGCAGGGGAGGCAAAATGAAGGTTTCTCTATGGAAGAGAATTAATCAGTGTTCATTTGATGAATTAACCTGGCAGATGAACAGGAAGGAAAGCAAGAACAGAGGTGGGAAAATCAATTTCAACCTATCTGGAATTGTCCAAACAAGGAAGAACAGAGAGAAAAAGATATGCAGTGACTAATGACTGACTATGAACAAATGGAGTAAAAAACAAGTTGGGTTTCTCTACAGTTATTTCAAAATAAGAAGGTAAAAAAAAAATAATAATAATAATAATAACAACTCAGGTTTCCAGTGTGAGAGACCAGGAGAATGTGAAATTTGGGATAATTTATTTCCAATACGTTCTTTTTAAGTATCAAAAATAAAACATTTCATCTTTAGTTATCACATTTAAAATCAAACTGTGACCAAAAAATAAAATATGTATTTTATACTTCAGAAGTTACAGTACTCAAATATTATAAAACAGTTTTGTAATTTTATAACCCATTTAGTTCTAACACAAAACTCATTTTTGGTAATTCATTGGTAACAAATATTTCATGGGTTTTTGTTTTGTTTTGTTTTGTTTCTGATGTAGAGAAAAATTTCAAACTACCTGTACTGGACTAAGAATGAATTTATCAAATCAAATAAAATAAAACAGTGCATTCCCAATCTGTATGCCAATTTTATCCTAAGGGAAAACGCACTGTTTAATACAAGCCACCCAATACTCCAACTGACAAAATTTGTATCTTTTTTCAGCTCCTAATAATGAAAAACTCACTTAGGCTGGGAAGATGTGAGCAATTTCATACTTGTTAATGAGGGACTCACCTTGGCTAAATAGACAGCAGGGCCAAACAAGTATCTTCAGGGGCCCAGGAATGAATTGTTGGTCTAGCATAGACCTAGCCTTAGGGTACAGTATCATATTAATATAATTTTATAACAGTGTGAAAAATACAAATTACATGCAACATTTGCCCAGTCCCATAAATATACCACTTAGCATTTGTAATCTACTGTAATGGCTGAAAATAAATATCTAGTTATTCTTCCCAACTTCCCTGAGAAGCAGGATTTCATCAGCATTTTTCACAAACTTGCACCGGATAAAATGAGTTTATGCTCAACTGGGGCTAAAATATAAATTTCTTCATTTTTATTTTCATTTACCCACAGGTCTATACTGCAGTTCATACAGGTACATTTTTTTTTTGTTATGGTAATAATATTTAGATATAATTACTAGAGGTAATCTTACCAGAGGTAAGATAAAAAAATACTGTAGTCAGGAAAGAACAGGAGTTACAAAAGCATCAAATTTCAAGCAGAAAAGAACACCAATGGAGATGGCAAAAATTTATTCACTCAACCCATTCCTCCTGCTGACACAGGATTTTCTAAATTTGATTAGTGGCCATGAGTCATGAAAGGACAGAGATAAAGGCAATGAAAGAATTCAATGGGAAACTAGGAGAATGGTAGCTAGGACTTAATGCTCAGAAAAATTCCTACCAACTCCTTTTGCTAAAATAACTAGTAAAATGCTAGGCCTCAAAATATACTACTTATCCAGCCTCAGATCTTAATGAAAAAAGACAAGCGAGTGCAACAGATGGAGAAATACTAAGATTGTAGTAGGACAACACTTCAGGATACTGAACCAAGTGAAATAAAAACAGACGTCAGGAATACTCAGAACATCAAAATTAATGTTTAAAGGCAGTAAAAAGAACACCCTTTTGCTATTCTGTTCTTAGAATAAAGGCCTCCCAATCACTGAAGTGCAGTGCAAAAAAGGACAAAAAGGAGTTCTGAATAGAACAGCTCATAACAGCAAGACAGCTATGGGCCTATATGGACAGACCATTCCAACACAGAAATGGAATATAGGACAGTTAAATTATTTCACCTCCAACCTTGCTTAAAACAAAGTACTACTGGGGCGCCTGGGTGGCTCAGTCGGCTGAGCGTCCGACTTTGGCTCAGGTCACGATCTCACGGTCCGTGAGTTCGAGCCCCGAGTCGGGCTCTGGGCTGATGGCTCAGAGCCTGGAGCCTGCTTCCGATTCTGTGTCTCCCTCTCTCTCTGACCCTCCCCCGTTCATGCTCTGTCTCTGTCTCAAAAATAAATAAACGTTAAAAAAAATTAAAAAAAAAAAAAACAAAACAAAGTACTACTATTTCTCCTTCCTAAGAAGAAAGGGAACAAAGCATAAACAACACAGAGCCTCCACATAGAACTGCAACGCTTTTATTAATCCCTTTCTGGCATTACCACAACAGGTACTCCATAAAAACTGGCAGTTTCCTGCCTTACCACACAGGTTTTTAGAAGCACTAGCCTCTAAAATGGCAAAGCCCCTCAGTCAGCTGGCTATGGTCACCGTTACACTTCTCTATCAGAATTCACCTTAGCTAAGAAAGAAAAGACTTATAAAGCATTATTTACATCTCCCTACTAAGTGCATTTTCCCCCAAGCTGTTAAAAAAATATCAAGTGCAGCCATTAAAAAACTGTCTCCAGGGGCGCCTGGGTGGCTCAATCAGTTGAGCATCCAACTTCGGCTCAGGTCATGATCTCATGGTTTGTGAGTTCGAACCCCGTGTCAGGCTCTGTGCTGACAGCTCAGAGCCTGGAGCCTGCTTCAGATTCTGTGTCTCCCTCTCTCTATGCTCCTCTCCTGCTCACATCCTGTCTCTCTCTCAAGAATAAATAAAGATAAAAAAAAAAATTTTTTTTAATTGTCTCCATATTAGGTATACCTTACTTCCTCAGTTACTTTTTCTATCAATCAAATGCGATAAAATTTGAATCTACTATGAATCTCTCTCATTTACAAATTTCTTTCAGGATAAAATACACTAATAATTCCCAAGTCCCTGAAGCTAGGGCACTTTTCTTATTCTCATCTATTATCGAGGTAGCAAGATAATCCAACTTCTAATCACCTATAGGAATAACTATGCATCTTCATACCAGTATCATAACAAATAATCATATCAATAAAATCATTATTTAAATATTTTGGACTTCAACCTCAGCCTATAAATTAAAAAGATATATAAAACATATATATAAACAGAAATCTCCCAAAGCTAATAGTATACATATTAATGACAATGGTTTCAAACAAATTAATAAAATCTTCTCTCCCCATTCCTAAAATCTATTAATCCCTCTCATCTTTTTAGAAAAAGTCTAACCTCGAGGCCTCTGTGACATTATACCTGAAAATTCTCTTACCCTTCTGACTGCTTCTATCTCCACTCCTCATTCATCTGCCCATATCCCATTCTAAAACCTACCTACCTCTAAATGAGATTACTGAAAAGTTCCTACTAACTTCCCCTTATTTCAATACTACCCCTCACCCAAAAAAAAGAGCACCAGAAAAATCTTCCAGAACACTTATGCTAGACCCTGGAACCTGCTCACCTCACCCATTTGCCTGGTTCTTAAAACTCTCTGTAACCTGGTCTCACTCTTAATCTGTTAACCAATATAACTCCCCCTCCCCACCTCAGAAGAGCTTCTTAACAATCCAATAAACTGCATTTATCCTCATCTCCTGACCTTTGTTTATGATGTTCCCCTTACCTGAAAGACCGGTCTTTACTTTCAAATCCACTCAAATCCTACTGCACATCCTTCACGATCAACCTCAATACCCACAGTCCACCCACTTACTTGTCTCTTCCCTTTTCTTAAATTCCTGCATCTTCTATTTTCACCGTATAGCTGTGCACACTACTCTCTAATTGTTTCACATGCATTATTCTTGCCTCAATTAGAAAAACTGGAAGCCCTGTGAGACAGGAACCAAGACTTCTACTTATGTTACAAACCCCACAGCACCCAGCGTTATTACTTGGTCAAGATGGATAGCTACTCTGCACTTCCTAGTTTAGCTCTGTGAATTCCAACAGGACAAATTATTTCTTCTACTAATGGAAATTCCTGTTCTTTTTTTAACCCAAAAGGCTTAATGTCAAAAATGTATTTTAAGTAACATGAAGGATAATACCTGAAACACTAGGATCATTTTGCAATGCAGTCCCTACCTGTCCATTTCTCTAACCCCTAAATGAAAATACATGCTGGCTGGTACTCACTTGATACTGTCTGCGAAACCGAAGAGGCAGTTGTTGTGGTAGAAGTGGTAGAGGATGGGGTGGATGATGATGTTGAAGTGGACACTGCAGGTGCTGGGCTACTGGTTGTAGGGGTGGAAGCTCCTACTGCTTGTGCTTGTACTTGCGCCTGCACCTGTGCCTGCGCCTGCGCCTGAGCCTGTGCTTGTGCCTGCGCCTGGGCCTGGGCCTGGGCCTGGGCCTGGGCCTGAGCCTGGGCCTGGGCCTGGGCCTGCGCCTGCGCTTGAGCTTGTGCTTGTGCCTGCGCCTGAGCCTGCGCTTGAGCCTGGGCCTGCGCCTGGGCCTGCGCCTGGGCTTGGGCCTGAACCTGAGCCTGGGCTGCAAGCATAGGTGTCAGTTCTGACTGCTGAATAACCTTAACTCCATCTGGTTTGGTCCATGCAGATTCACGTGTCCGAGCATTATAATAATAAACCTGCAGAGGAAGCAAAATCATTGGTATCCCAGAATCTGTCAACTATCATTAAAAAACACTAATGCAACTATACCTTCTCTTAAGAAGCATTAAAAGAAAAAAAAAAAAAAAAAAAAAACTTAGAAAAGAGGGAAAAAAAGCTTAGAGAAGAGAAACTGGCTGTTGAAACCATAGGTAATGATAGGTATGAAACTATTAAGTAATTTCCCCCTTCTCCCCCTTCCCCTAGTTTTCTATAATGAGCACACTATATTTTTAACACAAAAAGGAAAATCGAGGTTCTATTTTATGCGGAAAGTTAAAAGCAGGCCTTAGAATGCTCTCTTCAGAAAGCCCTGCTTGCAAAGCTGGCATGTGACTGGCATTTGGAAACCTGAATTTTAAGAGGGTTCCCATCATTCCCTGAAAACCACCTTGGCTCAGGTGAGCTTCCTTGGTAGACAACACTTCACACATGTTGTAACCATTCCATGCTGGAGGAATTAAACATGTCCTATGTAATTCCACTGACAGGATTCTTAGAAGCTTGTGCTTGGTCTCCTCCCGTCTTTGCCCCATGTACCTTTTTTCCTTTGCTGGTTTTGCTTTGGATCCTTTCACTGTAATTAGTCTTAGCTGTGAGTACTCTTATATGCTGAGTTCCAGAAGTCCTCCTGGCAAACACTAAACCTCAGAGTTACTTTGGGGACTCAGAATCACAGATGAACATATACAAGCACTCCAGACAACCTTATGTCTGTGCAGAAGTCTAATCCAGTGAGCCTTTCTTGAGTTCTACCCTATCCAGTGCTTATCTGAGACTCATTTTAATTGGCAAGGATACTGTCGTTGATCTCCACCTGCCAGAACTCTTAACTTTTACTCTTGTCACCAAGATCACAACCTAAATATACTTTATAATTTACCTTCCCATCTGGAGTTTTATTTTCAACCCATATCTCCTCAGTAGGAGGCAGTGCTGGAGTACCAGGAGCAGTCACAGGAGGCATTCCTGGTGGAAACATCATACCCGGAGGAGGAGGCATGGTTCCCATGGGTGGAGGCATAAAAGGTGGTCTCTGTTAATTAACAACAATAATAATGGTCATTTGTACTTCTCTTTTTTACCTTCAAATTAGTAAATTCTACCCAAACATCAAGTACTATAAGAGAAACTAGTTTCACTCTAGTAGTAAAAACTAGTCCATGCAAATATATTCATCAAGGTTATAGAAGTTACTCTTTAACAAAGATGACTACTAAACACACTAGAAGGAAATATATGAAAATACTAACAGGGTGAATAGCATTATGGGTGAATCTTGCTTTATTCTTTACACTTTAACTGCATATTTCATACAGTGGGCACTGGCTACTTTTCAAAAGGAAAAAAATGAGTCATAGATCTTGTTTAACACTAGGCACACCAATGCCTCCATAGGTCACCTATCGCAGGAACCAACCATAACAGAAACATTATTTTATAAATAATTTTCTAAGAAAAGAAAAATCGGCTCTACCTAACCCTTTTATTCTCTTTTCCCGTAAGAAGCAACTATAAGCTAGGAAAATATTCGTCATTTTTTATTTTTTGAAGCAATACTAATAATGTAGCTCAAACACATAAACATCAGTAACTTTAAAAGACACAATCAAATAGTTACCCATTTTACTTTTAGTGGAAAATAAGAATTTAAATGACATAACATTATAATTAAAAAAAATCCTGGAGCCATTACTGATCCAATCCTATCTCTGATAATTCCTTCACTGTCATTCTTCAATGACTGCAGACACAAGACCCTCAACCAAACAATTTAACTGAAACTGCTATATCTTAGCAGAAAAGTGGCCTGACATTTAAAAACAGATTCTGAAAAGGAACTAAAAAGATTTCCTCTATAATTTATGAGTAACATTAAAATTCAATTATTCAAAGCATCTTATTCTGTGCCATGCAATGGACACTATAATAATGTGAAAATGCATTTCCTTTTCCTAAAAATGTCTTCGTTTCCATACTCCAGGTTTTTCTGGATTCAGTTTCATGTCTTTCCAGCATCAGCACACAGACCCATGTTCTCTGAAATAACCACCCCAAATAGGTCTCATGCACCGTGAGCTGGAAATCATTTGGATTTAAAGTAAAACCACACAATTATCCATGGAGAACAAGAAAAGCTTCACAACATTAGAAAGTATCGCATTACAACTTCTGATTTATTTCCATTAGAGGGTTACATCAGTCCATTACATTTTACAATATTCTACAAGTAGATTTAACTCTTGAAAGCACAAATAAGAAAAAATCCACCTATAACAAGTTATACCACAGTCAGTAGGTCAAAAAGTGATTTCTTCTAACCTTCAAGGAAATATAAAAGCATTTAACATTTTGTTTGAGGGTGGGGGTAGGAACTATTCATTACTTGGAAGGCAATACAATTATTAAGCAAAATATTAAAATTTTGTGTCTCTTCCATAAATATAACCCTATCTACACTGAGTTAACATCGCTTAAATGCTACATCATTACCCTTTTCTATTTTTAGTAAGTTCATTCTTGATTATCCAAGCAAATGGAGGGCAGATGACAGCACTGTATTTATTTGGTTTCAGGGGTGTGCAGACTGGATAAAGTAAGAAAACAAAGATATATACTCAAACAAAAAGAATACCTTCTCAAAAGTAGACATTTAAGACTTGATACCTACATGACATCATTTCAGACAGATAACTGAGTCTACATAAACTAGACTAGAATATTATGCTTCAGGTTAAAATACCAGAAAAGTTTTTATTTAAGGAAATCCCACAATAATTCTATTTCTAAAATTGTAAGATAACCCTACTTTTCCCCCAGGGAGACAAAATCTAAATTCTATCCTAGGCATCATTTTCCTGGGAGAACTGCTCAGAAATACAAATACTTCATAATATTTAAATACTTACTGGCAACATTTATCATTGAAAACATATTATCCCCCACTCTATGTATTAATATTTCAAACTTCGTTTCCCATAAAGACAGATTACTAGAGACAATTCTCAAGATATAAGGCAGGTAAGAACTACCCTACTGATTCCTAGTTTTATATGTATGTTTTTCTATGGTTTTTCACCATCTAATAAATTCCCGTTCAGAATTTCTATACTAATTATGTTGTTACTACTGCTTTTGGAGCAACACATTTACATATGGATGTTCTCTTTAGCTCCCATTTTCCTATAAATGAAACTAAGAACAAGTTTTTAAGCAAAACTCATACACAATATCAATACTGACACTGACAAACAAATGACAACTTCTACATTCTTTACCTGGAGGTGTGGAGGGCCCATTGGTGGAGGAATCCCTCCTGGAGGAGGCATTGGCGGCATATTGGGATCAAAAGGAGGACGTCCAAAGGGGGGCCGAGGTGGTGGTGGAGGGCCTCGCATCATACCAAAAGGGGGAGGAGGTCGCATGAGAGGTGGTGGGCCTCGCATCACTGCATTTGGTGGGGGAGCCGGGCCTCGGAACCTCAAGGCCTGCTGTTGAGCCATCCTGTGTGGGAAAGCAATGTATAAATTTTTCCTTCTCAAACATATAAAATATAGCTATTCATCTCTAATTAAAATCAAACTTAAGAGGCCCTTAAGATCAAGTGGAGCTGGAAAGTCATCATTTCACAACCATCGTGGTAAAAAGTGCATCAGTAAGAATGATCAGTGGTCACCAAATCCAGGAGGAAATCTGGGTAAGGATGATATCTGATGGTCTTAAAATGTCTCCCCACATGCTATTTTCAGTTGCAGGGCAGGATGAAGAAACATCAACTACATATTAGGGAAACTGGACAACACCCTGACCAAGTGATCAAAATTATTATCACCTAAAAAGAATAAATGGGGGCGCACCTGGCTGGCTCAGTCAGTTGAGCTTTGGACTCTGGATTTTGGCTCAGGTCATGATCTCAAGGTAGTGAGATGGAGCCCCACGTCCACCTCCTCGCAGGATGTGGAGCCTGCAGATTCTCTCTTCCTCTCCCTCTGCCCTCCCGGCTCATGCGAGCACACTCTCGCTCTCTCACTATCTCTCTCTCATAAATAAATAGATAGGTAAATGGACAAATGGACAATGGACATCACCTATTCCGAGCACCTCAATCTAATAATGAGGAAATATTAGACAAATGCAAAATGAGGAATGTTCCATTAAAAAGGGAGAATGAGGGCTGTATTCTTCACAAATGTCAATGTTATACATAAAAGACAAAGGAAGGCTGTGGAAATGTCGTAGATTTTAAATGACGCTAAAGAGATGACAACACAATACTAACTCTAGACTGGATTCGGTACTAGAAAGAAGACATGCTAATAGGATATAGTGAAGTAATGGGCAACGCTGGGATATGGAGAGTAAGTACTGTTATATGTGTAAATCTATGAAGTTGATAACTTATCATTAGAGAGGAGAGTATGTCCATTCTTAGAAAACAGACACTTAACTATATCTTACCCTCAAATGGTTCAGAATAAAAGAGAACATGCATACGTGCAAATAATAAGGCAGAGAGGTAAAATATTAACCCTAAGTGTATTAACTTCATTTTTGCAACTTTTGGAAATTACTTCCAAGTACAAAGTTTTTACAGGGGCTGGGGGGTAGCAGCTTAAGAGATCATGATTATTCTTTAACTAAAGGACAAGCCCTTCGCTACGCTGAACCCCATCCCATCCTTCAACCTCTAGGTCATCACCCTGGTTTATTTTTCCCATGGAATTTAAACAGATAGGAAGTATCACATAAATGGTATTACCTATCTCCTCTCACAAGTGCTTTTTTTAAAAAGCAAAATTTTTAAAAATATTTTATGCTACCATGTATCAGGCAGTGCTCTAAGCTCTTTTTAAGTCATTTAACCATCTTTTTTTTTTAATTTTTTTTTTTTAACGTTTATTGATTTTTGAGACAGAAAGAGACACAGAGCATGAACGGGGGAGGGTCAGAGAGAGGGAGACACAGAATCTGAAACAGGCTCCAGGCTCTGAGCTGTCAGCACAGAGCCCGATGCAGGGCTCGAACTCACGGACCGCGAGATCATGACCTGAGCCAAAGTCGGACGCTTAACCGACTGAGCCACCCAGGTGCCCCTCATTTAACCATCTTAACGCCATGAGATGGATGCTACAGGTGACCCTTGAACAAAACAGGTTTGAGCTGCACGGGCCCACTTACAGGCGAATTTTTTTCAATAAATTCAGTACAGTACTAAATTATGTTCTCTTCCTTGTGATTTAACATTTTTTCTCTAGCTTATTTTATTGTAAGAATACAGTATATAATACATTTAACATACAAAATACATGTTAATCAATTGCTTATGTTATGGGTAAGGGGTCCCAGACAAGAGTAAGCTATTAATAGTTAAGTCTTGGGGAAGTCAAAAGCTATATTTCAATTCTCAAATTGTGGGGGGTGGGACAGCATCCCTAACCTCCACATTGTTCAAGGGTCAACTGCATTATCAACTTCATTTTAAAGATGAGGACACTAAGGCACAGAGAAGTATCACTTGCCCAAGACCTCACAGCTGGTTCAGCAGTAAAACCAGGATTTGAACACAGGCAAACAGTTCTTAAACACTACACCATGCTGTTTATGTAAGCCTCTCTAGAGCAGGAATTCTGTCTTGCTCTCCTGTATATTCCCAGCACATAGTAGGTCTCAATATTCGTTGAATAAGCCAATATTTAGGCACTATTGTACCTAAGTTACCTTACAAGTAGGGTATACACATTATAAAAATTATTTTTAATATAATTTCCTTATTCTTCTCAAAAGCTACTATAACTCTTTATATATGAAATTTACATTTTTGTGCCCATGAGATTAATAGTTACATTCCTTATGTATATCTGAAAATAATCATTTTCATACTCTCTTCTCACCAGGCTCTTCCAACTTTCCTACATCCTTCAACCCTCTGCTTAAGATTATCCTTTGAACTTTCTCTAAATTTTCCACTGTAGTTCAATTCTGTCACAAAAAAATCCTAAGAACCAGTATGACTTCCATGAGAACACTAGGACTGTAAACACATCCAAGAGCTACTATTCCAAGAGTATTTAACCAAATTTGCAAATTATCCTGCACTCGGGATTGCAAAGTATGAGGTAATAATGGTGACGGCAAAAAGAAGTAAGGATGGGATCAAAATAATCAGTCTTCATATTATACACACTCCCTAAAGACAGACAGGAAAGTCTTAACCCCTGGGCAGAAAAAAAGTGAACCACCAAGGAAAGATACTGTGTTTCAGTGTCAAGTTAATAATGTACCTTAATCTTCTGATTTCCTTTGAATCTGCCTCTCCCTTTTCAGAAAAATTTACAGTAATTCTTTCTTTAGATTTTCACTTCCTAGTTACAGGCTGAAGTTAAGCGGTGAGGCTTTTGAATCACAAAAAAGTCAAATCAGGACTCTGCCTTTTGTTGTTAGGCTAGTTACATAATTTTTGAGCCTGAGTATACTCAGTATTAGTATAATAATGTAAATTAGCAGGGGCAGAGAAATAAGACCGATCTCCTATCTCACTGTTCAGTGAGATAATCCCTGTGAAGCATTTAGGATAGCATATGCTACCCAGTAAATTATCCTTACCTAGCACAGTGCTCAACTTCAAAAAGCAATGTCAATTTGACTAGACAGCTTAACTTTCAAGTCTGCCACTAAAAATGGTGACAAAATTCACAGAATTTCCTCCATCAACAGGCTAAAGGTGCCACCTTCTGATGTCAGATATGTATAGCACACGTGTTGAGCTCTCTGTACACGCAGTTGCATCCCAACAACCTCACCAGAAACTTCAAGTTGGAGTAAATGAACTAATAAAGTACTTGGAAGAGCACCTAACACTTAAGCCCCCTGTAAGCAGGAGCTATTATTACTGCGGCCATAACATTAGTGTAACAGCAGTAAGTGTTAAATGGTATTACTGTGAGAAAGCTAGCTATACTGTAGTGTTAGCTACATTACTATAATTACTATTATTAGAATCTATATAACCTGACCTCTACCGACCTATTTTTTGATCAAATACTTTAAATAAAAGTTCATTACCTTGAAGCCTGTGCACTTGTTCCCTCGGCCTGGCATGCTTTACCCCAGATGTCTACATAACTGGCTCCTTCTCATTCGGCCTCACGTCAGATGTTACCTCAAACTCTTTTCTCACCCCAAACCCAGTCCCTCTCTGGCTCGTAACCCAATTTGCGTTTTCAATTATGATACAGGTTACGAAGAAATCTTTCACTTGTTTACTTCTGTGTTCTCTCCACCCGCTAGTATATAAGATCCTCTTTGGCATACCGCTGCATCCCAGGGCCCAGGACGGTAACTGTTCAAGCATTACTCTTGCAATGGTCATGTAAACTGGGTACTTCCTATATACCAAGCACGGTTACATGGATGGTGTTTGTACTAATTCTTGTAGTCCTCACAATCCTCATAAACTTACCAGTTAGGTAAGTTTGGCACCATTTTTACAAAGGAAACTATGGCACAGAAAAATACCTTGTTTAAGGCAGCTTGCTAGTGGTAGCACCAGTGTATTCTTATTCCCAATTTACAGTTGAGGAAATTGAGACTCCCAAGTACCTTGTCATCAGACAAAGTATTAACAGGCAAACAAAGGCCTTGGATAAAAGATCTAGACAAATACGACTCTACAAAAGCTTTCTTAATGGTCTTCAACCATTAAGGGACGGGTGGCATTTGGACCTCTAAATAAATTTTGTCTACTGTAGGTTATTTGCATCCCTACCACTTCTAACCTTTTTGGAAAACAGAAGGCTCCTTACAAGAATAGAAGACTCTTTTTTTTTTTTTTTTTTTTTTTTTTTTTTTTTTTTTTTTACAAGAACAAATGTATCTCCCTAGGATATACAATCTCCCCAGTGGTGAAGACAATGCTGCAAATACTTTAATAGGAAGGACAAAAATAGAGAGATGCTACATCATGATATATGGGAGTCAAATTATGTGGTAAGACTGTGAGGAGACCTAGACCCTACCAATTACTCAGTGACCTTGAATAAGTCTCTTCACACTTGGGAGGTTGATCTCATTTGATATGAGGTTAGTTCAGTTTAGAATTTAGATCAATCTTAATTAGCATGGAAGCTCCTTGAGGACAAAAGTGTTTGGTCTGGTTCAAGGCTCCCCTGCCAGCAGGTACCTAGGTCAGTGACTGTCACAAAGCACACACTAAATGTAGGTCCATAAGTAAACCATCTGTAATCTCCTATATTCTTTTATTTACCATATATCCATCCAACACCTCCCTTGCCAGGCACTATGGCAGACACAACATGACACACATTAAGAATACAAATACAGGGGTGCCTGGGTGGCTCGGTCGGTTAAGCATCCGACTTCGGCTCAGGTCATGATCTCACAGTCCGTGAGTTGGAGCCCCGCGTCGGGCTCTGTGCTGACAGCTCAGAGCCTGGAGCCTGTTTCAGATTCTGTGTCTCCCTCTCTCTCTGCCCCTCCCCTGTTCATGCTCTGTCTCTCTCTGTCTCAAAAATAAATAAACGTTAAAAAAAAAAAAAAAAAAAAAAATTTAAAAAAAAAAGAATACAAATACAAAAATAAGCCTCAATTTGTACCATTAAAGAAGCCACATAAACAGGTAATTTCTCTTACACCATGAGAAATGCTATAATCAGTTATTTTATATAAGTAAAAGTTTTTACAATATACTCTGGAAGCAATTTCCAACCCAGGAGGCTAAGATCTAAAATATTTGCAAGAGAACACCTAATTTAGCACCCTATTCAAATCACTTTTACAACAATGTCTAGGCTACTAGTAACAAAGTCTAAAAGGCTACTCTGTAAAGTACTAAAATGCAAAGTAATGTTCCCAATAACGAGGTAAGTAACTATTCCCTTGGGATCACAATCAGTAATAAACTTTCCATCACTAATACTGAACCACCCTGACAACGCACTTTGATCACTCATTACTAACGTACATATGGGGTTTAAAGGATATGAAATTCGCCCCTGAAAGAAAACAAGATTTTACTCCTGTCAAGTAAGGATTTCTCTGTGTGACAATTCAGAATTGAGAAGACAATTTTTTCCTGAACACTTGAGTAACAATACCCAGTTCTTTCTACAATTTCATCTTGAGCTCCAGACAATACTAAAGAGTCCTCATAACCTACACTGCTCTTTTTCATTTTCAAATGCTGACAATGGCACAATTCAGAATGAGGGCTGAACATCTGAAATGACATTTTCCCTTATCCAGAAAAAAAAAAAGTACCAAACATACATAAAGCTCAGTATCTCTTTTCCTCAAAAACCACTAAAACTAAAGAATTTTACTTTATCAAGACACTTTTACTGTACCAGATCTTAATTACAAATCCCATAGGCACTAAGATGCCAAAGGAAGAAAGGTCACTGCACTCTTTAGGGCAATGGCGTAAGCACGAGAATGGAACAGCGATCCAGACTGCTGGCTCTGGAGCCTGACTGCCTGGGTTCAAGCCACTTCCTGGAGCCACAATTCCATCAATGCGACCTTGTCCTACTTCCTCGACCTCTACGAGGTTCAGTTTCCTCACCTGTACGATGGGCCAGTAACTTAACTGAAGAGGGCTCTGGTCTGTGGCCTGCAAAAATGACAATAGCCAACTACCCCAAAGGCACACAAAAACACGTACCAAACGGCTGTCGCTATTGCTGTTATTCACAAATGCGGCATGAGGCATAAACGGATGAGAGAGAAAGGAAGAAAACACACAGGAAGTTCAGAAAAAGAAGCGATGAGGCGAAGAAGGAACAGGACAGACGTGGGGACCCCCGAGGGCCGCGGAGGGCGTGGGGAAGGCTGACCCAGAAGTGGCGAGGGATCCCGAGGAGTTAAGTGCGAGTGGAAGGGGTCGATGGGGGAAAGCCCGGCCCTCGGCGGAGCTGAGCCGGCAGGAAGGTTGAGGTGGGCCGAGGCGGAGGCGGCACGAGGCTGAGGCGGGGCCCCAAGGCGGGAACGCCGGACCCGGCCCGCAGGCCGCAGGCCGCGAGGGGCGCTGGGGCCCAGGGAAAACCGCAGGGCGCGCCCGGAGAGGGCACAGGAGGCCGCGGCCCAGCCCCGGCTCGGCTCTCTCATTCAAGCCACCTTCCCCTTCCCCCTTCGCCAACCCCATGCGGTCCTGGCCCCGAGCCGCTGCGGCTCCTCCGCCCACCCCCCGACCGCGGATCTCCGCGCGGCAGGCCTAGCCCCTGGGGCCCCACTGTGCTGAAATGTAAGGGAGGACAGCGCCCCTTACCTGAGCTCCCCCGGGTTGAATCGCTCACCGTCCCCCCCGTCCCCGCCACGCTCCGCCATTACAGAGGGCCGCGTTCATCCACCCGCCGACTGAGCGTCCCCGATTGGCCGGTCGGATCGTCAATCCCGTGCGAGGGCGGGGGAGATCGCAGAGATCAATGAAATGATTGGTGAAGCTTTCCATCAATCTTCAGGCTGAGGGAGGTATCTGCCTTGCGATTGGCGAAATGGCCCGCCGACTTTGAAAGCGGTATCCAGACAGCCAGGTGATTGGTTACTCGGAGGCTTTATGGGAAATGAGACTAGAGCAACGAGAAGCCGCCGGCGCCCTCTCGCGGTAAGCAAAATTAGGTCCTCCCACGTACTGCCGGGCCTGCGGTAGCCACGTGTCTGCCGGCTTCCAGGAAAGCCAATTGTGGAGCCATGTTGGCCGCTTATGGGTAATAGTGGCTCAGGCAGAGACCCTTTCCATTGCGAGAGCCAATCAAAAATCGACCTGAATTGGACCTAAGCCAATCACAGAGTTGCTGTGGAAATCAGCTATTTCCCAGCTTTTCAGAATCGTATGTTAAGCGACCACCCGTTGCTAGCCACGTTATTAATAAAAGATTACTAACTACCAAAGTGTCTCCTAAAGTGTATCATCATCTGATGAGTGTTACAAGTTGCCGTATTAAGACAAGTGGGAGATGGCAAACCTCTGCGCAATTTACAGTAGAAAGCATCTGCCCTTCATGCCTCTCTGAATTCAGCACACCCTGGTGCCCAGAAGGAAGTCTGTTTATTGCTCTTTTTATTAAAGGGAAAATGTAAATAAATAAATAAATAAATAAATGGAAAATTTTTACATAAAGCTGTAGGCTCTAGGGTATTAAAGGCATAAAGATGATGAGCCCTATCTATCATGAAGGAATTCAAAATATTAAAATAATAATACATAATTTTTAGTCAGACCTAACCACATGTACGAGGCACTGTCCTGAGTACTCTCCATGTACTAGCTCTTTTAAGTCTCATAAACACCGAGAGGTGGGTACTGTGAATAGCTACAGTTTATACATGAAACTGAGATACAGAGAACTTAGGGAACTTCACAAACTCGCAAATGGCAGAGCGTAATAAGGGCTCTCTCTCTCCTCTCTTTCTCTCTCTCTCTCTCTCTCTCTCTCTCTCTCTCTCTCTGTGTCTCTCTCTCAAAAATAAACATTAAAAATGTTTTTTAATGTAGTAAGAGCTAAACACAGCTTCAACTGGTGAAGGAAAAGAATGCAGAGCGCCTGGGTGGCTCAGTCGGTTGAGCGTCTAACTTCAGCTCAGGTCATGATCTCTCCGTTTGTGAGTTTGAGGCCCGCATTGGGCCCTGTGCTGACAGCTTGGAGCCTGGAGCCTGCTGATTCTGTCTCCTCCTATCTTTGCCCCTCCCCCACTTGTTCTCTCTCTCTCTCTCTCAGAAATAAATAAACATTAAAAGAAAGGTTTTTTTTTTAAAGAAAAGAATGCTTAAAATTTCACTAACTATATGACATTCAAACAAACTGGAGCCTAAGAGTGGGAGTCAGATCCCTTTTTCAGTAGCAGCATACATCCCCAAATCATGCCAAACTATTCTGAGAATAATACTGATATAGATGGCTCATGACAAACTACTCCCCAGTGCTGAGGGGAAATAAAGCATCCCAAAATAGATACCTTATAGAAAGCAAATCAGTGGCATGTATAAAAGATGAAAACAAACTGTCAGTTTGAATGAATGGAAGAAACACTCTGCAGTTGTAATGAAAGTTTTATCATTTGATAGTTTTATTACTTATATCTATCTATAGAGAGAGAGACATTAAGATATTTATATCTAATTTTATCATCTTTTTTTTTAGATATGTAGAGCAGGCATACCTATATATATATATGTATCATATGTATATGATTTTATGTTTAAGTATTTCATTGTTTCATTGCCATAGCTTATTCACATAAACATGAGCTTGAAATTTGCATATTTTGCACTCAACAGTTACACAAAATATACAGCAAATATCTCATCTGAGCTGCATCTACAGTGAGCCATTTTATTGAATCAATGTGAAAATATAAAGGGGCTCAGTGCATCTTGCAAGAGACCAAATGCAGTTCCCTGTGGCCAAAGCATGATAACTCAGGTTACTGAAAACGTGCACAGCTGCACAGAACAGAACAACAAATACTACGTTGCCAAATTGGCAACAATTGAATTACAGAGCCTGAAACTTAGTCTGTCAAAGTGAGGTAAAGAGACAGTGTTTGTTTAAGACTAGTTAATATCATCAGGGCTTTAAGTTTTGGCTATGAAGTCATCCTGCAGAAGTGACTCTTGAAACGTGGTTCCAATGCAGAATCAGGCATTTCTGAACACCTATCTTAAACCTATCGTGGGTACTTTGCATACACTATGGTTAATCCCCTCAGCAGCCCTACAGGCAGACGTATTGTCACCAGTTTATATGTGGAGAAACGAAGGCTCACGGAGATTTCATAGCTTGTGCAAAGTGACATTCACACAGCCAATAAAAAGTGAAGCTAGGGTTTCAAGCACAGATGTATCTCACACCAAAGCCAACTGGGGACTGCTAAATCCCACCCAAACCAGAAAGATAGCATAGTTAACAGACCATTTCTGCCTCTTCCCTCTAGACTGAAATACTTTGAAAGGACTCTTTTCTTCACTGAATCCCCAACATCTAGCAGAATGTTCATTCACCGGAGAGGCCAGTGTTGTCTACTGGGCTGTGCAGCTATATTATTCCTCGTTGGGGGAAATAATGGTCTTTGAAACATTGGAAGAGACTCAGTAATGGAGATACACCTGCTGGCTACCTAAGAGGCAATATGGATAGCTGATTGATGAAATGAGATCAGGATTCTAGTCCTGGCTCTGTGAATTACTGGCAGCATAATCCTAGGCAAATTACTTGACTTTCCATAGCTTCAGCTTCTCTATTTGGAAAATAAAAGAGCTGCCATGAGGTTTCATAAGTGACCATTTACCATGGCCTAGGCAGCAACGAACAGGACTCAATAAGTAATATTTGTTAACTGAGTTGCTTTGGGGCATTTTGCTAGCTGATGCTTTACCTAAACGGTTAAAATCAAGATAATTTTCAGCTTTTTGCACATGTCTACACGAAGACATTGAGCTATCAGCCAAGAAACTAGAACAATATTACTCTATGAAGAGTAAACATCATACTAAATCAACATGTGGGTCAGAGCAGCAAATAAGAATAGTAGCTTACCCCTGCTTTCTTTCTTATCTGTGTCTAGTTGTCTATATCTGGGCAACAAGTTGCCCCCGAATTTAACAGCTTAGAGCAACAAAATTTATTATTTCACAGTTTCCATGGGTCAGGAATCCAAGCTCAGCCTCTAGCTGGAGGTCTCTTGTGAGGCGGCAATCAGGCTGTCAGCCAAGGGGGAAGATTCACCTGAAGTTCAAGGATCTGCTTGTAAGTGCTCTCATCTGGTTGTTGGCATGTGTCACTTCCTTGCAGGTTCTTAAAAACTGAGGACACCCCCATGGATGTCTCCATGGGGCTGATGACAACATGGCAATTTGCCTCTCCTACCATAAGCAATCTAAAAGAGAAAGAGACAGAATGCCCAAGACAGAAGCGACAGATTTTTTGTAACTTAATGTTGGCAGTGAAATTCCATCACTGCTGCCCATATTCTGTTCACTAGAAGCAAATTGGTAAGTCCAGCTCACGCTCAAGGGGAGGAGATTACCCAAGAGTTGAATGCATCGCCAGGGGTCATCTTTTAGCTCTCAACTTCCACCTTACTTCTCCAGAAAGCAGTGTTCAGAGAGAAAACCTGACTTCCTGCTATTTCCCCTCTTAGATTCTTTTCCTGTAACACCCCTCATGTCTCTGTAACATTCCAATCACTTGTTACTACATATTGTAACAATGAGCAGTGTGTATATGATATGTTTTACATATATTGTCTTATTTCTTTCCTGTCAACTTTTTTTGTTTTTAACGCTGAAGTACTTTAAATTATAAACATCGTAACATTCTACCACTGAATACATCAGTATGTATCTCTTAAAAAAATACATAGTTTTCTATGTATCAAATATAACATTTTCACGCCTAACAAAATTAAGGGTAATGCCAAGTCTATATTCACATTTCCCCAGCTCCCCAGCTGTCTCTAAGATGTCATTTTTAGCTGGTTTGGCCAAAGCAAGATCCAATTCAGAACCATGCAATGCATCTGGTTGCTATGTTGCTTAGGTCACTTTTAACCTACAAGAGTTCCTTTTATCAGGACACTGACTTGCTGAAGATACCAGGCCAGTTCCACCCTCTGGATCTCTCTGATTGTTTCCTCTAACCCTTGTATTTCTGGAAGCTGGAACTTAGATCGGAAGACTTGGTTAGATATAAGATGAACATTTTTATGAAAAGAACTTCATAAGTAGTGCTGTTTATTTCAGTTATAACACACCCAGAAATACAGGCATATCTGATTATCCCACCCTTAATGATGCTGAGAGTGACAGTGGGTTACAGCAGTGACAGCTCTATCCTTCCACCGTAACCAGTGTACTATCTGCACTATTAATAGTTACATCTGGGGGCGCCTGGGTGGCGCAGTCGGTTAAGCGTCCGACTTCAGCCAGGTCACGATCTCGCGGTCCGTGAGTTCGAGCCCCGCGTCAGGCTCGCATCAGGCTCTGGGCTGATGGCTCGGAGCCTGGAGCCTGTTTCCGATTCTGTGTCTCCCTCTCTCTCTGCCCCTCCCCCGTTCATGCTCTGTCTCTCTCTGTCCCAAAAATAAATAAACGTTGAAAAAAAAAATTAAAAAAAAAAAAAAAAGTTACATCTGGACTCTGGTCAGAAACCAGGACTATTTTGGGCAAAATTGGATGAACGGTAATCCTACCTATCAACCATTAATTTAAACGGTTTAATGGTTTTATCTTTCCCTGAATCAATATTTCCTCGGGGTGGCAAAATAACGAGTTTCTAATTATATGTTACCGTCTATGTTTACTACCTAACAATTCTGCAAATTGGAGA